TAACCCATAATAATGTAGAATATTCGTTTTACCCAGTTTTTAGAAGACATAATGATTTTAATTTTGTCCCAAATATTTTATTTTTGAGTTTTATTAAAAGAATGCACATTTTATTAGGCCCTTTTGAAACGAAAATGAAATATAAATTGTCAAAGATAATGATATTCAAGAATGCTATTAACCATGTTGTTAAGTGTTGAAAAAAAGAATATTTATTCAAAAATATTACAAAATGGAGCCACCCTCGCGAGACTTGTGAGTTTCTGTGGCGCACAGTATAACTGACTTTGTATTTGGAAAAAAATAAAGAATTTTCTCTTAATCTACATGAGTATAGCTAGAGAAATACGTAGGGGATTTTTGAAACATTAATTTTTGTATGATTGACGAGCATTTGAAGTGGAAAGTTCGATTTTACACAAAAAAAGGGGCAATAATTTGTCAATAAATAATGTTAAAATTAACTCATATTTAGATCCCCTACGTATTTCTCTAGCTATACTCATGTAGATCAAGAGAAAATTCATTATTTTTTTCCCAGTTTACATCAGTTACACCGCGTGCCTCAGAGCGCCTCAAGTTCAAAGAAGAGAGAATGGCTCCAGCGTCGTAATTTTGCACTATTTTCGAACAAATATTCTTTTTATTAACACTTACCGACATGGTTAATAAACCATCAAAAAAAAAAATCGAAAAAAAACGCTTTATTTGGGGTTTTCACAGTGGTCTTATCTCTTAACCCCTTAACGTTCATGCCTGACTGCTTTGGAAAAGAATATTTGTTTAATCCAACGGTTCAAGGGATTGTAATTAACAGAAACCGTATTTTTAGAAAGAAATCCAATAGAGAAACCTGATCATCGTTGGTTGACCCGAGAAATATGAGCGTTAGGGTGTTAACAGTGTTACGCGATGTCTTTTTGTCCATGAGTGTACATAGTCGCCTCCAGCTGGATTTTTGCCGAGGGGTTTATCGAATCGCCGTGGTCTCTATCAGGATTTGGCTTGGCTTACTACATTTTTCAAGCACGCCCCATCGTACCCGATGTAACGCGGCCCGACACGCGCGCATTACGGCCCCGCTAATGCGATTGTTTTGTAGATTTACGGGTGGCCGGCGTAGACAAGTATGATCGAGGAGCGAGAACTTATCACCGCCAGGACGTTAATTGCCCGTTACACGTGCGACGTGTCGTGATGTTTGTCACGATATAGCAACCCCCTGCTTGATAGTACCCTCCTTAAAAGTAACGGAGTCATCCCACCCCCCCCACGCCACTGTTATTGTTTATTCAGCGCGAACGAGTCGTGGTACCCAATCTCATCCCTTAACGAAAACTTTTATACATTAACACTAGATTTACGGAAGACGTCAATTTGATGGGTGTCTGATTCCATATTTTAAATTGCAGAACGCGTAAATATTATTTTTTAACAACTTATGGTGAATTCGATTGATGCACTAGGGCATTAATATTCTAATTACAAGAAAAATCGTATTGTAAGGTAATCGTCAACATGAAAGGTGTTAATAATTTTATTTATTATTATGAGCGGACCTGTGATATTTTCCCTGATGAAAATGAGTTTAAACGCAACCCCGATGTCGCAACAATGGCGGCCAGAAGGACAGTTCAACCGTTCCGCGATTCGAAACAATTTTGATACTTCGTTTCGTTATGATATAGAAAACGTAACATTTCTCGACGAATATTAATACCGTAGACAATAAATCTATGTTGGCCTTATTGGTTATCTATTATTCGAATAAAAGTCGATTACTTGAAGCATCTGGGCGTTCAGCCGGCAACAGATTGCAAGAATACAAATTGCCTGATCACTTTTTGCCCAATGTAGAATCCAGGCTCGATTCAAACGGAATTTTACAGATCGTTTATGCTAACTATAGAAAATACTGTTATAACAGCAAGGATGTATTGTTAACAACTTTTACAATTTTTGTTATTTTCTATCAAAAAAATTTGTGAGTATTCTCGAAAGATGAGTCTAAAAAGTGGGCAAAATCCCCGTCGAGAAAGTTTTTTGATTTTTGTGGGGAAAAAAAATACAATGGAAGCTTATTTTTTCAGCTGATTTTGTTGGAAACCCCCTTAACACGTTGACTGCCAATCTAAAATCCTGAAACTGTTTACGAGACCAATACTTCGATTTTAGGCAATTAGAACACATTAAAATTCACGAAGCTTATTAAAATTTATTTTCCTTAACATTTCAACTTGAGAATTGTTTTAGTTCCACTGTTAAAAGTTCTGTGACCCATATATGGGTCACGTGGCAGTCAAAGTGTTAAAGACCTTGATAATCCAAACGTCTTTTTACTCCAAATATTTGTAATAATATTTACTACTACCAAGGACATAGCTAGCTAGCTAGCAAGGTGTGAGCTAGGTAGCTAGCAAGGAGTGAGCTAGCTAGCAGGGAGTGAGCTAGCTAGCTAGTAGATAGCAAGGAATGAGCTAGCTAGCAATAAGTGAGCTAGGTAGCTAGATAGCAAGGAGTGAGCTAGGTAGCTAGAGCTAGCAAAGACTGAACAAGTTAGCTACCTAGCAAGGAGTGAGCTAGGTAGTTAGCTAGCAAGGAGTGAGCTAGGTAGCTAGAGCTAGCAAAGACTGAACAAGTTAGCTACCTAGCAAGGAGTGAACTAGCTAGCTAGCAAGGAGTGAGCTAGGTAGCTAAAGCTAGCAAAGACTGAACAAGTTAGCTACCTAGCAAGGAGTGAGCTATGTAGCTAGATAGCAAAGATTGAACAAGTTAGCTACCTAGCAAGGAGTGAACTAGCTAGCTAGCAAGGAATGAACTAGGTAGCTAGAGCTAGCAAAGACTGAACAAGTTAGCTACCTAGCAAGGAGTGAGCTAGGTAGCTAGAGCTAGCAAAGACTGAACAAGTTAACTACCTAGCAAGGAGTGAACTAGCTAGCTAGCAAGGAGTGAACTAGGTAGCTAGAGCTAGCAAAGACTGAACAAGTTAGCTACCTAGCAAGGAGTGAGCTAGGTAGCTAGAGCTAGCAAAGACTGAACAAGTTAGCTACCTAGCAAGGATTGAGCTAGCCAGCTACATCTTTTGCTCCAAATATTTTTAATAATAACAGAGTTTAAGTATTGCTCGTAACACTTCTACTCGCATTCAAGATATGCACGTCGTGATTACGATTCTCTTTGTTGATATTTGCTTCCTTTTTTACTCCGCTTTGCCCGGGGCTTTCTGAAAGATAAAGTACGGCTCGTAAAAGTATGAAGGATAGAATTCAACAAGCTTATGCTGTTATCACGCTACAAACGCCTGCAAAAATATGACGTACCGCTTTCTTATCGCGCGAATAATTATTCAGAAGTTTGGCAGATTAAATAACGCTGCTTCAAATAATACTTCGATTCTCTGTAGCTTTCCACGGTCGTTTTATCATCAAAAATCTTTATCGTTATAAAAATTCTTGAAATATGAAATTTTGTACTCGTCCTCCATCGCCGTATACAGCGGAACAGAATTAATTAGAATTAAAACCAATTTCAATGATGTGCAACTATTCTAATTAATTTCATCTTTGTTGCTCAAACTGTCAGAAATATAATTTCTGCAATATTAAAATTAATATGACATTTTTATATTATAGTAGTTCCTGAAGGTTACCAAAATATTCAGTATATTTCAATGATGTGCAACTATTCTAATTAATTTCATCTATGTTGCTCAAACTGTCAGAAATATAATTCCTGCAATATTAAAGTTAATGTAACATTTTTATATTATAGTAGTTCCTGAAGGTTACCAAAATATTCAGTATATTTCAATGATGTGCAACTATTCTAATTAATTTCATCTATGTTGCTCAAACTGTCAGAAATATAATTCCTGCAATATTAAAATTAATGACATTTTTCTATTATAGTAGTTCCTGAAGATTACCAAAATATTCAGCAATATTTCTCGAAATTAAAAAAAATTTTTCCCTAACAATTTACAAATAATTGTTTTTCTTAAATACAAGTAGAGAACCTTACAAACTATATTTGATAGAAGTACGAAAAGGTCGATTGAAAATTAGGAATATTGATTATTAAATTAGATTTATGTTAACAGAATTTCTTTTCAAATGTTCGATATAACGGGGGTGCCAGGAAGAAAAATACATGCGTCGTATACTGAACCGGAAATTTTATTAAGGACCAAATTTGCTTTGCTATTTTGTTCCTTTTGAAAACAAATCTATTGACATGCGTTTTCAATCAGATCGGGTCTGTGCTCGGAAAAATCAAAAACAAATAAAAAAGGTTCTTTTTCTCGTGATCTGGGCACAAACCTATCTTCACAATTGACAAATAAACATATTTATATTCCTGAAGAAGTAAACAGATATCGTAATTTTCCAATTTTCTTCTCGCACGCGTGAGACTGACAATTTTTTTTCTTTTTTTTTTTGAACATGTAACAAATATATAGGGGTTACACAAATGCTTAAAACTCTGAGGTACAAAAAATGTTTGATCAAGACGCACACGATCCGCGCGGATGGGGGATCGTGCGTTCCTTTTGTTCCTTTTTTCTTGTTTCTTTTTTTTTTCTTCTGTGAATTGTCATGCAAGTCGGTCAGTACCACGTAAGTGTTTCATAATGCAGAATACTTTGTTTTTTTTTATTGCTTTATGAATCACAAGATCTTAAAGTGTACATAATCGTATATAAAACATTAAAAACAAGTGCACAGTAGTGTGCGACTTGCATTTACAAGAATTCATAATACAATTTTGTTTGTCCAGAAAGTGAACCAATTGGTATGAGCGTGTCGTAAAGAATTCCTCGCAACATTCGTAGGGTAGAAAATGGTGTACGATTTTGTAAATACGATTTCCAATTTACCGTCTCTGTGGAGCGTTCGAGTATTGCACGAAAAACAAAATGGAACTTTGAAAATAAATTACAATGATCATTATACATTTGTTGTGACGGTACTTCTTGTACTCGAATTCTAGTTTTTTTGTCGTTTTTTTCTTGCGTCTTTTTTTTTACTTTTTTTTTTTTTGTTGATTTTATTTTTTTTAATAGATTCTTTATAGATCATCGGGGATCGTGTTCCAATAATCTCGATCGAGCTGCTCGAGAGGAGCTTCAAAATGTTTTTAGGATGTTGATTCGAAACCAATATTTTCTTTCATACAGTGTGAAAATTGTAGTATTATTGTATATATATATGCAGCTCGTTGCAAACGGTGTGAACCGGATGCAAAATTACGGTGAAGGATACGAAACCGTTGGACGTGACGTCCTCAATTTCGCTAAGCTGTTCCCTCCATTCACCCTATACGAATTAAATCGTATATATTTCAAGTGTTAATACAACCCTTTTAAGATGACTGTCAAAGGGTTTATCGTAGATACATCCCCAATCCAGATGTTAACACGGCACTTTCCAACATTGCACTTTTATATTATAAAAGGTGCCACTCACAAATTGTTTTCCGCATCATGGTTATTCTCTTCTCCAAGATGAGGTGCAGGAACTTCACTTGGAAATGAACATCTATGCGACAGACATGAGGGAGAACTTACAAAATTTTTCAAGAACAAACTCATCTTGAACATTTCCATAAGCAACCTTCCGACACATGTATGTATGTGTATATGTACCCTAAGATTTTACAAAAAATCAAATTCCATGTACAACATGGAGAATGACGTAATTTTGATGTTAAAATTACTCATCAGTTTCAACTGTAGAACGAAACAAACACATGTATATATATATATACATATATATACATATATACATACATACGAATTATATATATATATATATATATATATATATACACGTATATATATTCCTTCAGTCTATGCGCATAGCATTGCATTCAACAACTTTTTATCACCCAACTTCTACTAGAAATTTATATTTTCATCTCACATGAATACCAATCTTTCAAAAGAGTCAAGATAAATATGATAACCATTTTCTATGATTACAGAAATTTAATAGTCGTAAAACTGATAAATAAACTAATACCTAATCATGTAACACGAAAGAAACGTTGAATCGTCAGCGATTTTATGCAATGCGCGAAAATTTATTCAAATTTTACGAACTTTCCCTCCGTTGGCACGTTCTTGACTCTTTTAAAGACTGATTAAAATATACCTCACAAAATAGATTCCATATCGGATCTAATGGTGTTTCAAATTATAACTCGGTAACACCGACGGTATTACTTTCCTAGTCTGTACAACTTCGCCAAAAGAATCATCAGATAACTTTCACAAACATACAACACAAAAGCGAAATTTTGTGGTGAATATGCAGGAGAGTATTTGTTTGTTTTTTTTTTTTTAGAACTGACACATCCGAAATACTGTTTGACTTATTGAAATTCTATGTCCCTGCATCGAGGAAATAAAATATGAGAGAGAAAAAAAAAGAAGAATGATTATAATATTACATTAGAACTGAATCATATGCGATTTTACTTTATCAAAATAAGCATCCGGTTGTTGGTAAATTTTGGCTGACAAGTAACAACGCATACGAAAAGAACATAATAATCGGTAAGATAGAGCCACGTAAAAAAACACCGGACAGTGTTTTCGTTTCTAAACTGTTATAAATACAACGCTTACGTAATTATTTCGATAAATCACTGCCAATTTCTTTTTTTTTTTTTTGCAACTATTTCGTTTTCTCACAAAATGTTTCACGCACTGTTTCTCTATTATCAATTGGCCTCCTCCTATCGCTAAGCATCATAATGTCTGATTCTCGCAACAACACGATGCATACTTTTTGTTACGATCAATTGGCTCTACATCAACGTATTCTCAGATCACATTCATCTCAAACTGGCAAAAAAGTGTAAATCGATTGATAATGCCTTGCACGCTTGGTAACGCACGTCACAGACACATTTTCCAATACTGAAACATTGTATGTATCAAATTATAATTTGCGTTAGCACAAAAAACGGTTTCGAATGCGTTCGACGCCATAATACTAAATCACAGCATTCGTGCCCGAATGGCGACACACAAGAGAGACATTTCCGTACGTCAGTGATTAATAATTTTACAGCACATCAGTAGTAAAATAGAATCGAACGATGTTTGCGTAAAACGTATTACCCGATTATCAACCAACGCATTCACAATTTCAAGTAACGGGTAATAAAAGGAAAACAATCTCTCGCGTTATCCCTGACACACATGCCAGTACATAGAATACTCGTATCAAATATTTTTTATTTCACCATTACATGGTGCGCGATATCATACCCTTGTGATCGTATTCAATGTCATCAATACCAAATACTAAATCAAAAGTCAAACATTTTTAAACAAACAAGTGAATTTTATACGTGACTTTACGTGGAACTACATATTAATTCGAAAGCTCAATATTTTGCTTCGCGGGTGTGCACGTGTAAAAACGTCCAGTTTTATTCGACATTTAAAATCATCGTTAGTTTTTCGTGCCCACTTTGTAGGAAAATTTCAAATGTTCACGCTTTCTGTTCCAGCAGTCAATCTTTCTCGTCACAAAACATCTCCCCTGTTGACGGCCATCGACAAAGCAAAATATCCCGTCAGAACTGATATTATTAGCCCAAAGGCATTCCAAACCGTTTTTTATCACTTTCATTAATATCTCTTATTGAAATTTTTACTTCAAATATGAAATATTCTATTGCCTATTAATGTATACGCGTTTCGTTCCATAAACCTAGGTCGTCTTGGCTGGTGGTGCACTTTTAGTTCACAAGAATATCAACAGTACAATAGAAATTTTATACGAAATCATTTCTTACGTGCTCTTGTGTTGTTTTGTTATTTATACGGTTAACATGTACACAGATATCAAAGAGAAGAACCAAAAATAAAAAGGGATTCCACGATGATGTTCTATTACATTTTGGCAGTTATTTTTATCTGTCACAGAAAACGGTATATTATGCTATTTTATGTACATTTTTTCTTTATTTTTGTAAATTTACCTAATATGTGTCTTAAAGAGTAATAAAAAATCTTTACTGGATAATTTCATTACTCATACATTAGTCGATGTATCAATTTTGTAGCAGACACATAAATATTTTAATAGAAATCACGCATCGAATCCCTAATGTTGACAGAAATGCCACCAGCCAGTTTATTTATAAAAAATAATTATATAAAACTAGTCAATTTTACAATCTCTGATGCTCAATCACAATTTCGTGGAAAAAAATTCGGATGAAGTTAAAAAAAGTTTCTATTATCGGTTTTACAGAGAGAGAAGAAAAAAAAAAAATAAAACTTGCCTTTGTTTTTTTTTTTTTTTTTGTTGTTGAAAAGTGATTTGAATTTCAGAGTTGTATGACAGCATTGACGGGTAGCAAAATCAAGCCATGATCAAATTTTAAGATCAATATAATTATTTAGAATTTGTGATTGTATATTTAAGAAGAATTTATATGTAAGTATGATGATGCAAAAGTAATGGACACATAGATTAACGTACAATTTTCGAATACTCGTGAACAGCACTTGAAGCATGAATTTTTCATTCTTGCTGTTTTCCTTTAAATCGCGCATGCTATCACGTTTTTTCTTAAACAAAAAAAAAAAAAAGAAAAAAAAACAATCTTGGAAGTATGAAGCCATTGTATAAAAATTTACTATTAAAACGATGGGTACTCTTCATGTAATATTTACAGTTGTGGTAAAATGCAATGATTATTATGTTTACTCATGTACTCGTTTACATATTGTGCTCTTGATAATGGCTTGACTCTGACGCACTTTAGATTATGTACATTTATATGTATTTATGTACAAAGAATGACTCGCACCGGCATTCGCATCACTTCATTGAGTTCATTGTTTCATACTCGGTATGCCTTATTTACAAGTAATTCATGTATCCACTGCTTATTATGATGTTAATTGAAATTTTCAATTTTTTTTTTTTCTATATAGACCACTTTTTTATCTAAATGTTTCATAGCACTGTTTTTTTTTCCTTTATACACCGTTAAATCACACCAGACAATTCATTAGAGACTGAAGCAACATTTCACTCTACGAGTTCAAAGCACAGCAATGTATGCCTTATATGTACGAGTCACAATCACTATATTACACTTTAAACTCTTTGAGCGGATGTAAAACTTCATCTTGACGATGTATCGAAACTACTTGGACACATTAACCTCTTCCATACTATTATTGTCTTCTGGTCTCGCTACATACAAACTTGGATCTATTACTTTTGGAATAGGTTTTATTTCTGTTCCAAGCTCTTGTTCGATACGATGTAAGTTAAAACGATCCTCATATGTGATTAGGTTAATTGCTATACCTAAGTGGCCGAATCGTCCTGATCGACCAATACGATGCAAGTATGTCTCTGCCATTTTTGGAAAGTCAAAGTTGATCACGACATTGACCGCTTGTACGTCTATGCCACGAGTAAATAGATCACTGCTCACCTGTAGATGTAAGCAAGTCATATATTTTGACTTTCGCGTCTAAATTTAGGTTTTCCTTCAAATGCTTAATTACTGCGTAATGTGAGACAATCGTAAGGAACACAAACGGATAATATTAACCCCCTGCACTATTTTCACGAGTCTGACTCCTAATCGACATTTCGTCCAAACATGAATATAAATCAAACTCGTAAATATCGATACTTCGTCGATCGACATATCGTGTTTCGAGTGAATGGGTTAGGCACGGCTTCTTCCGAATTTCAGCGTAATGCAAAGGGTTAAAATTTCTTATACGAAATGTTTAAAAACACAGAACATGTATATTTCCAAACGTGACTATTAATAATGCTTAATAACGTATCAATTATTTCAACGACTGATTTAAGATATAAAAATTTCTTCTTAGCGAAAATTAGAAAACATTCTTATAATGAATATGTGTATACTATGTATAAAATGTTTGTTTTCACTTACCAAGTTCCTACATAACCCTGCTCTGAAATCATGAAACACGCGATTTCGGTGTGCCTGCGCCATTTTCGCGTGTATGTAATAACAGCAGTAACCGAGATCTGTTATCTTCTTTGCCAGTAATTCAACGCGTTGCGTTGAATTGCAGAATATTATACTTTGTGTTATTTGCAACTTAAAAAAAGAAAAAAGAAGAAAATATATTAGACGAATAAACGAAAGTAATATAAAAAAAAGAAGTATGTAAGTATATATTCTCACCTTGGAGAACAGTGTATTAAGACAATGGACTTTTTGTCGTTCTTGTACAAAGGCATAATATTGCGTTACGCCTTTCAATGTGAGTTCTTCCATTAAATTAATCTCATATGGATCTCTTAAATGTTTTTCCATGAATTGCTTCACTGTCAGAGGAAATGTAGCTGAATACAGCAGTATCTGACGTTCATGCGGTAATCTAAATTTAAACGTAACAAATGAAAAAGTAAATTATTTTTTAAATTCAAGATATAATACACGGTAAAGAGATGTGCTCAATATACCTAGAAATTACATGATCCAACATTCCTTTAAAATCTTGCGACAAAAGCTTATCCGCTTCGTCCAAAACTAGAATTTTACAATGCTCCATATTTGCAACATTCTTATCCATGAGATCTAGAATTCTTCCTGGCGTTGCAATTATTACTTGCACTGGAAACAAATATACGATAAATGAGAAAATATTTTCATGCGATCGACCACCGCGATTAGATCTAAACAGATGTGCTTAGTACCTTTCTGATAAATCCTTAGAATGTCATCCCGTAAGTTTGTTCCTCCAGTAGTTACCATAACTTTTATGTCCATATGTTTGGCCAGTTCAATACAAATTTGTGATGTCTGAAGAGCTAACTCCCTAGTGGGTACAATCACCAATGCCTGGATCACATCTTTTCGTGGATCAACCTGTAACAATAAATTAAGACTTGCTGTAATGCAAATAGGATTCAAATTAAAGACGCCTTAAATTTGGAACAATGATCAAAAAATATATACCTGTTCTAGCACTGGAATTGAATAGGCACCAGTTTTTCCAGTCCCATTTTTTGCACGAGCCAAGATATCTTTACCGGACAATGCAATAGGAATACTGGCTTCTTGAATCGGGGAAGGTTTTTCCCAACCTTTTTCAAAGATTCCCATCAATAATTCTCGTTTTAGGCAAAACTCCTCAAATTCATTGCCACGAGTATCGGTAACATCCTACAAGTTAAAGAATTTTCTTTAAACAAACATTCCAAGTTGGAATTATAACAAAGAAGATTAACAATGTAGAACAATACTATGAATACACGATTAGCAATAAGAAAGCATTATAGAACTTACACTAGTTTTAATTCGTTTGTCCTTTGGTGGAATTTTTAATTTGGCTTTCCAACCTACGTCGTCCATTTTGTCTATCTCTGATTTGGTAGTCAAAGCAGAACTTAGGACATGATTGGAATTTATGTGTGTTTCTGTCATCATTTTGGAAATGATAAAATATACCTATTTCCTAAAAGTAAATTTTTGTTCATAAATAAACTGTAACCGTTAAGAAAATTAATTAAATTTAGATATTATAACTTCGCCTGTATATATCAGGATATAAAGAGAATTATTTTATTTAAAATTCTTTTACAGGAACAACGAATTTAAATTAAAAGAAGGGAAAAATTTAGAAATTTAAATTCATGATAATCAGATACAAGTTGAACAGTTATAGCATCAAAGGTAGGCAACTAATATTAATGACCTACTGGAAAGCGTACAGTTGAAGGTAAACATTACACGTACTCTCATTGGAACAATAACTCGTTTTTATACACTTGCCTTACAAGGAATTATAAGAATTCTTGTTATTGGTTACTGACATTGCCCGTAAAAAATTTGAATTCTTCCCCAATACGTATATTAAAGTAAAACACATTGTAAAATATATTATCAAACGAGATATCTGAAATTAATTTTGAAACGAGAAACGAATATTGCAGAAACCGTTATTTGAACAATATATAGTATTTAAATCAATAAAATAATTACTCCATATTGTAACAGTTACAATATATTTCGTAATCTTTACGTAATTTCAAAACGAAATAACCAATCGTGATAATAAATTAATTTTATAACGAACGAAACTTCCAAACGAAAATCAGACGTACCACATTCGTGATAAGAAGATACATAATTTGCTTATTTGGAAAGTTGGCCCGAGATATTGGCAACATTTTCGAATAACTTGTACACGTACAAGCAACCCGTGAAATTTTTCGATTTCAAATCAATATTAATCATACGGAAATTGTAGTGGTGCCATTTTAACGCGCTAATAAGACCCTTTTGGTAAGAGATAAGTTTCAAAACACCGCGATATTACCATCGGACATACTCGGGGCAAGATGAAAAACAGAGCAGCGGAGTAAAACCATCTGCGCAAAGTCGATCTTTCTCCCGTGATAGTGGGATAGAAATTTTTCAAAGTAAATATGCACAAAAGAACGTAAAGCATAAATATCATGGGCGCGTGATCGCTTGTTTACCAAAATGTCCACAGCTACAAAGCCACTTACCTTGAAATGGATGGATATCGATGCTAAGCTGAGCACTCGATTAGGAAACAACACGCCAAAATGGCCGTCCAATGTCAAGTTTTCTTTGTAGTGCTTAACCGCCGCGTTTTTTTTTTTTTTATGAAGCACTAACACGAATTACTTGCTCGAAAAATCTATCGCGTAATACGCGGCACTATATTACGTTCTTTTCCGTTTGTAATATCAGACTAACGCACTGCGTCAAATGCGAGCGATAATTATTCCTCGTTGAACGTACACGACATGCGCCATGAAAGAGTAGAAACACTCAAACCAGAAACCGTTACATCGTCGTGCGCACTCTATGGACAGCGGCGACCAATTGCGTGCGAAACTTTAAGACGCATTTTCAAATCCCCCTTCCGTCATCGCCCGAATCAAGGCTCACTTATTCACCGTTGCATCGAAATTTATAAATCGAAATTATAACAATACAGAAATGCAAACGGATACGAAGAATTAATATTTTTCTGTTTATACGTTTTCTTTGTCATCTAAACGCAGCTTGAAAATAATTTATCTCGTGTAAAAGAAAACGTGCCGACAAAGTTTTATGAAAATCAACTGATCGATATCTCATCTTGGTGCTTCTACTTTCCCCGTGGTTTACACGTTTTGTCTTTCGACGATGAATTGGATTTATTTACTCGCAAGAATAAGAATATCGATTTTATGGTTCTGTTAATTAAAAATTTTATATGGGACGTATTATAATAAAAATAAAAAATTGTACATACAATATTTCATAATACTATATCACGTATGTATGTAATTATATTAAAATTGTAACGTAACGACACTTTGAATTCAAATTTCATAATACTGAGAAACAAAATACATATAATATGCTACAAGCTCGTACAGATGAAAAATTGTATATATGTATTAGAGAAACAAAATTTGTCTTCTAACTACAGTTTTGTTCTCTCCTTTGTGATATTCTGTATTTCCTACAAGCTTCGGGACAGTGTCGTTCTAGATATCGTCTTTGAGAAAACGCTTTGAAACACTCCCCGCACCGCCATTGCCATTGATGATGATTTCGTGTCCTTTGGTGTGCACGTAAATTCGATCTACAAAATACGTACGTTACGCCATAGCATTGAATCTTAAAGTAGAGGTTGGCCAGTAATTAAATATGATCTTTGCAGTTATTAGAAAAATGAAATATGAAACCATAAAAGAATATATACCGATCGGCGAAGGATTTATGGCACACTGGGCACTCGAAAGGTCGTTCGCCAGTGTGAAGGCGTAGATGACCCTTTAGCACCCACGGACGATCGAAACTTTTGCGACAATAAGGGCAGTAATGCATGGTTTTATTTCGTTTCCAATTCTGAGTATTTTCCACCCCAGATGTTTTTATGTTATTGCTGAAATATTGATTCTGAGAATCGATAGGTTTCTTGCTGGGGGGAGTCAAATACAATGCTTGGCTTTCAGCTTCGTCGAACGTTCTGTTCAAATCCACTGCTACTTTGATTTCATTATTCGTTACATTTATCGGGTCGTTTAATTTTTTCGTGTTCAAAGGCACCGATAGTTGCCCTTTCTGCGGTTTCATCTCATCTTTCGTGTTTAGAATTATTTGGTCGGTATTGATCGAAACGTTACCAGACGACGATAATGTGTTTTCGATTTCCGAAAAGTACGTGACGCCTAAGTCTACGCCCCCGGTCAATTCCTTGTTCCATAACATGCAATTCTCTTTGTTGAAGCTGTACCGTGTTACGATCGGTAGCTTCGAGGACGTCCAAATGTTGTTGCATTTCGACGAATTGTCTTTCACCTGGTGCTTTCGTTTGGCGTCGTTCGACGACGGTGGAATCCATGGTGTTTCGGTCTCTACGTATACATTCGCAGTCAAGAACATTATCTGGTTTCATAGATAGTAATTCTATGAAATATGAAATTATAATATGTGAAGTATTTTTTTTTTTCTTGCATTCACCGATTTAATTCAAATTTGTACGCTGGTAGATAAAATATACCATTGTAGGGACAAAAATATGAAAAAAGAAGTTTAGGAATGATTTCTAGAAAGAATATTCAATATTCACTCCAACAATAACGTAATGGAAATGCACATCGTGCGATAGTTTTCCATAACCACGTAAAAATTTCACTGTCGTTAGATTGGCGCACTGTACCTTATATTCGAGTGGAAACAAAGAGAATAAAATGATGGGTGTATTACCTTCGGAGGAATTGTTGGTCTTCCTGTACCTTGTCATCGATTTGATCAGGCAACGCGGCATATTTTCCGGGGAAAATATGAACACAGAACTTTGCAGAAGAAAAACGAAATAGAATTAAGTGTGCTATTCGTTGTAACAGCGACGAAGCAAAACCACTGTCACGCGGTGGGCTAGCATTTGTTTTTTTCAGTGCCCAGTACCGTAATATCGAAGGGCCGGCCATGACGGATGCAACAAAATACAGCGCTGTTAATAATCATAAACTCAATCATATTTTAAACAACATTGAAAACAAAATTTTTTATAACTTCGAAACAAAAGTCGAAGAAACCGTTTGTACATTTCTATATTGCGGTATGAAACAAAAATATGGAAAATAACCATCTTAACTATTCACATTAATGATAATAATATTAAGAATAGAAAATTATTCATTATTCTCACGAAATCGTTTCTTTTCTCAAATAATCTTGTTCTTAAGCGAACTTTGAATGTAGACTCTATAATTCCTCAGCAATTGGTTTAATTCATTTAATTAATACAAATTTTTTAAGGGATGAATTTCTGTTAACATTCAAATTATTTATTGAATCAAATAATACGGAATGTAATCATTTTCCAATTGCTGTATAACAAGTTATGATATTAAATTGAGATATGGTTACATAACATTAATAATACAATTTAAATTATATAAATATATTAAGTTTTAAATTGTATTTATCTGATTCTTGACAGATCTTATAATTTGTTTTATTCATGTATACATATATGTATTAAACGTTCATTTAATTGAATGATCATTGAGATAAGTAGTTTTCTTTGTTCGACGAATAATAAATTCATTTATTAGTTTTCGACTAATTTTGAAAAGGATAAGTAAATTCAAATTTAACGTGCAAGAGAATTTATGGCCGAATATATTTCTATTTATGTTTGTATACATTTCTTATGGCACACTTGTACACGACTTCTTATACTGTGCGGAATTTACGACAATGAATAAATTGTAGCTAAATGGACAACGTATCATTTTTCGCTGTACGCTATAGAAGGAATTTTTCAAAATTTTTAGTCTTTCAAACCGTTGCAAATAAGAAAACAAATATTCGATACTTAAAATTCAAAATTCATGCATTAAACGTATTCTTTCTCAAACTATGTATAGAAGAAACCTAAAAAGAAATCTATTTATCGATCTGCAATTAATATATACTATAAATATTTTTTAAATAGTAATAATAATGTTTAAATATACGTAAATAGAAGATGTAATTTTGATTGCAATTATTAAGTAATCAATGATATATAAATCAATAATTAAATTTAATGGATTTAACGATTCATTAATTATAAAATAAAGGATCATTTGTTTTTAATATTACTTTCGTTGCATAATTAATTTGATTTCGGTCTCTTCACCATCGTTTCGTAAATGGCCGATCGTTCAACGAAAGCTGTAAAAAATAGTTAAAATATTGTTTTAAAGAGATTATTGCAAATACATAATGATATATAAAAAGTAATCTGAAGCAGTTTCCTCAAATGGGCCATTTACGATATTAAATTATCACAAGAATAGCAGACTTATTTTTACAAGAGTTTGCATCTGCAAATATACATATATGTATATATTATTACGTTTTATTGGTTCTAGTAAAAATTAGAGTAATTTATCATTTTATGATTGCAACTTGTTGGTTAAAAAAAATAACAAAGAAACAATCAATTATCAAAGAAAGCTGAATTTGGTAAGAAAGATGAATTCACTTATGCATGATTTTTTATCAAAACAGCCCTCCACATTATTGGAAAATATTGTTAGTCGATTTTGTAAATTGCAATTTGAAGATAAATAAAGCAAATTTTTCAAAATGAATTGAATTTGGGAAATTAATTTTTCACATTTTGCTTTTCCCCGCAAATATCGATATAATTAAAATTGAGATTCCAGAATAATTTTAATAATAATAATAAATCGAAAATAATTTTATTAGTATTTGTAATAATTTATTTTAATATTTCAAAGAATGAGACTTCTTAAATAACGAAACCCAGGCTTCAACCCCCTCCTAGTCGCCCTTAATCGCCCGTATTTGACTACCCAACGTTGCCTGTATCAACTTTTAGTGCCTTGATAACAGTCGTAGTGGTAACAAGGAACTGGCAATTTCAATATCTCATCAATATTTCGTAAATTCAGAACACTTCTATAATAGTACACATATCCATATATCTTTCTTCACACATAGTGCGAAGAACCTCTGTAAGTATATCTAATATTTATTTCTTCGTTACTATATAAAATTCATTAAAAAATTAAATACATTTTACCGATATATTATTACTTTCACACTCCTTGTTAAATTTAATTAAATTTTTATAACATTATTCGACACCAACGATTAAATAAATGAATAGAGTTTTATAAAAATAAGGGTAGAAATCGAGGAAATAATTTGCACGATTAAAGGAGATTTTGTGAGGACCATTGAACAAAATATTATTTGCAATCTGTTCAAATTAACTAAAGTACAATAATCTAATGAAAGATAGATGAACGTAGAAAGCCATTTTATATTTTTCACGTTCCATTTTCTATAAATTATTTCGTAGAATTTTAAATTTAACCAGTGTTTCGTGTGGCTAATATTAACAATTTAGTGTTAGATGGTAATCAATTTAATGAAATTGTTACAGGATTATGTACCATAATTTATTCGCGTTCCTCGTTCTAACCATCTTCTATTCGCACGTCGATTCACGAGGTAAATTTCATTTCCAATTAAACGCAACGTGTTCGATCAAGGTGACATTTTAATTTGTTTTTGTTTTCAAATTTGAAGTTAACCGCTGCGAGCCACCGGACTGGTTCTTGTGCCATGATGAGAAACGATGTATCGCATCCTTTTTCTTATGCGATGGAGACAGCGAATGCAATGATAATTCGGACGAAATAAATTGTCTCGAATTCAACGTATGTATAATAATTTAAAAAAAAAGAAGGAAAAACATCGTACAAGATAATACAACAATCATACTGCAATCTAAAAGAAGCAATTCTTCGTGCAAAAAGAATCGAAAGTACAGAACAAAATTGTTTCGTATGATATTCGAGGGAACCAATTACTCTGATACAATTAATTTTTAATTGCAATTATCTTATTTTTATTTAGTAAACTTTTCTAATAATTATATTATAAGTTTTAATTATATTATTACATATATTATAATTAATAATATATATTATATTATTTTTAATTGCAATTATCTTATTTTTATTTACTAAACTTTTCTAATAATTATATTATAAGTTTTAATTATATTATTATATATATTTTAATTATATTATTATATATATTATAATTAATAATATATAATATACTTATAATATAATTATTAGAAAAGTTTAGTAAATAAAAATAAGATAATTGCAATTAAAAATAATATAATATATATTATTAATTGTAATATAATTAAAAATTACAATTACTCAAATCCAGGTACATTCGACGATTATAATAACGAATTTCAGTATAAACTACGTTTTATAAATAAAGATAAGACAGTTATCGTTTGAAATTAATTTTATCAAGAATAATTATCCAAAATGCTAAATATTCGAGTTAGTTTTGAACGAAGAATCATCCCCTCTCTTGGTTGGCCTGTGTTAATAATTTTCCTTCTATAAGAAAGGAATAATTGTATCGAAATGAAAATACAACTAAGTTCAACGAACTACAATTCAATTAATTGTTACTATTAATAACAAACGACAAAGTTAATTATTAGTTTATGAACAATTTATATGCTACTTTGTTCAAATTTAAATATACAGCGTAAAGATATCTTGAAGATGTGCTCGTTTACAACAAATGAAGTTTAAAAATCATTTTTAAGGCGCCATTGTTCTGTTTTCGTGTTCGTGTTATACCAGAATTCATAGAGCGCAATAAGCAGACTTATAAAATGATTAGTCGAATAATAATACATAATCAGTGATATCTAATGTATACTAAATCAAATTTTACATTTTCTTTGTGTGAATCAGTCTACCAATTCCATGGTTCGATGCGCAACGGACGAATTTCAATGCGCAGATAGATCTTGTATACCGATCGATAGATTTTGTGATGGAAAAATCGATTGCCCAGACAAAAGCGACGAAGAAGACAGTTGCGTGATAAATGTAAGATCATGTTTAAATTTTCTGGAGCACAAAGCAAGAAAGAAATATAATCACATACTTTCTGATAGCATTCATTGATATTACAATATCTCTTGCACTCTGACTGAACCAAAATTTTACATATTCTGCTGTAATCGATTGTTATTTTTTACATCCTCGTAACTAAAAAAATGAAACCAGGGCAACGTGTTCTTTCTTGTTTTATATTACATAAAGTTTTTGCCCTCCAAATTAACCATTTTGCAGATCATGCTCACCCTTTTGTAGAGCAAATTCATCTTATGGATGACTCAGAAGTGAAGTATTGAAATGTAATTTTTTCATATTTTGTGATTTTCTTTACAATTAGTGAGCTAGCATTCAAAGGGAGATTGATACTTTTAAAGTTGAATAAGTATTTTATGTTAAGTAATAATAGCATTATATAGGATTTCATTGTTATTGCAATGATTTAAGGAAACAAATTTCTAGAAAAACATTGATTTGTAAAAGAATTTGGAATGTAAAACCTGTATTCAGCCCATGTAATATTGGTATTTAATATGTTGTTAACAATTTAACGTACAGTTATCATGCGATGGTTTTCGTTGCGCCAATGGTCGTTGCATAAAAAAGGAATGGGTTTGCGATGGCGTTCCTGATTGTCTCGATAGCAGTGACGAACAAAAATGCGGTAATTCCCATAAATTTTCATAAATTTTCGTAATTATTCAATATCGGATCAATTTCACGATCAATCGATTCTTCGTAGATAATAAAACGATACCTGCCAGCGAATGTAACAGCGAAATCGATCGATATTTGTGTAAAAATGAAAGATGTATCCCTCTGAACTTAACTTGTAACGGGAAAAACGATTGTGGCGATGATTCGGACGAAAATGTCGTTGAATGTGAGAAGGGTAAGTGTGAATCGAAGGTAAACATTACTAAAAAATGCGCGTAATTATGATGCAATTTGCATATTAACCCTTTGCACTCCAAATTATATTTCAATCTTGTTACCAGCTGCCCCCCAATGCTTTTAAGTGTTTCATTTGAAATTTACGTTAATTTTTTCTGTAATTTTCAAGTGTAAAAATTAAATGATAAATATAATTTAATCTTTTATTTATAAATATTTCAATAATTAAATCTTGTTACCAGCTGCCCCCCAATGCTTTTAAGTGTTTCATTTGAAATTTACGTTAATTTTTTCTGTAATTTTCAAGTGTAAAAATTAAATGATAAATATAATTTAATCTTTTATTTATAAATATTTCAATAATTAAATCTTGTTACCAGCTGCCCCCCAATGCTTTCAAGTGTTTCATTTGAAATTTACGTTAATTATTTCGTAATTTTCAAGTGTAAAAATCAAATAATAAATATAATTTAATCTTTTATTTATAAATATTTCAATAATTAAATTTTAAAATCGAATACAATAAAATTCTTATGAAATAGTCTTATGGTACAGAAAAAAGTTATCGAATAATAAGAAAAAATCAATTATATTTAATTTTTCATATATCCAGTGAAAATTATTATCTCTTTGGTGTGATAAAGAAATGATTTTAACGTGATAATTATATTTCAACTATTTTAATTTTTAGCTGACGCTGAGTGCAAACAAACATCTCACTGCGAACACTATTGCAGAAAAACACCCCAAGGTGCTCAGTGCTCTTGTCGTTTGGGTTACGAATTATCGAACAATCGTACATGCAGAGGTAAATATGCTCGAAATGATCATTTATCAACTTAACGACGATCGAATGCATAATTTTTAGAAGTTTAAATATTCGATAATCATGCTGATAAGTGTTTAGAATCGTTGCATTTAGAATTCATTGCACGTATTGCTTTGCAGATGTGAACGAATGCGAGAATTATGGTACATGCGATCAACAATGCATAAACACTGTTGGGTCTTATAAATGCGCGTGTCAACCTGGTTACACCTTAAACGACGATAAAATCTGCAAAGCTGAAGGTATTTACAACCGCTTAATTACACGATTACAATCATAAAATTTATTTTATTATATTTTTTTATTTTATTTATTTATTATCATTAAATTATGAATTCTCCTACTCAGGATACTCGTAAAAGAGTACAGAAATATTATAACTAGACAAATTCATATTTTTATTAATAAAATTAATGAAATTGGAGCTTTGTAGAGGGTTGTCTTAACACATTACCGACCGATAGCGTATTAATCAACTTTTTTACCGACCAACGTTTACCGACCGATAGCCGATTAATCAACCGCTACCGGTCGGTAAAGTGTTAACCCCTAGATATAATAATTCGTACCTTACTTTAAGTATTTCTTATATTCTTGCATATTAACTAAATTCTGTAGTTTTTTGAAAATTAAAATTTCCCATAAATGCATAAACATCCGCAGTCTAATTATAACAGATGTGTGCCTTGTGTTTTCAATTTTTAAGTTTATTAAATTATCATGTAATGCTTAACTATAGGTGGTGAAGCTTCGTTGGTGTATTCGATAAAAACAGAGATCCATGGCATATATCTCAACTCTGAAGTATATTTCCCGATCACTAGTAATTTGCAACACGCCGTGGCCGTTTCCTTAGATGCAAATTACGTATATTGGTCCGACATCGAAAACGGAAACGAAGCGATAATTAAGAGTTTAGAGGATGGTTCCAAGAGAGAAGTCATCGTCACAACAGGTATATTACCTACATTACTATTATATCTGGTAATAACACACAATGTCGTTGTTGCGTGATATTATAGTATTAAATTTGTTATATTTTATATTTCGAAGGTCTAGGCAGTCCTGACGATATAGCTGTGGATTGGATAACGGGCAATATATATTTCACCGACAGCGATTTCGCGCATATTGGTGTTTGTAGTAATGATGGTACTTATTGTAGCGTTATAGTTAAGGAACAAAACGATAAACCAAGGGGCCTTGCTTTGTTACCATCAAGGGGGTGAGTATCTTAACACATCGACTGCCAGACTAAAATTATACGTTTTTGTGTGAGTCCAAAACTTTGATTTTAAACAATTGTAGACTACATGAATTAAAAGTCTTAATAATTATTTTCGTGACAGCAACTAACATTCATGAACTCCATTCAAAGTTATTTCGTTTAACATTTCAGCTTGAGAATTAATTGTTTAAAGCGAAAAGTCTTGTCACCCAAATATGGATGACGTGGCAGCCAACGTGTTAACACATTACCGACCGATAGCCTATTAATCGACTTTTTTACCGACCAACGCTTACCGACCGATAGCGTATTAATCAACTTTTTTACCGACCAACGCTTACCGACCGATAGCCGATTAATCAACCGCTACCGGCCGGTAAAGTTTTAAGGAGGCATTCCAGTCTAGATATCAATGTTTTATGTGTTTATTAGAATTAAAAAAAATCTTTAAATATACTTCCAGAAAATGAAACTTAAAATAATCGATTTTTTAGAAGTTTCGAAGTTCTAGACCAGAGTATCTCCTTAGTACTTTTTAATCGTTCTAAAAATTACATATCTATAAAATTGATTCTTCTCAAACGATGATGCTTCTTAATGTATCACTGAATATTAAAATTATACGTTTTTAGTTTAATGTACTGGACTCAATGGGGCTCAAATTCGCGCATATTAATGGCGAGCATGGACGGAAAAAATAGCACCGCGTTAATAACAGAGAAATTGGAATGGCCAAACAGTTTATCTATCGATTACGCGAACAACAGATTGTATTGGATAGATAGTAAAATAAGAGTAATCGAATCGATACGACTAGATGGTTCCGATCGCAGGGTACGAATCTTCCACGACAATATCTAAAGTTACGATCTTCGGAGATTACAAATTATTTTAATTTCATATTTTGTTCAGACTGTATTAAACGGTGTGGCAAAGAAACCGTTCTCGTTGGCTGTATTCGAGAATAAACTGTATTGGAGCGACGCGATATCAAACACCATACAATCGTGTGATAAATTCACTGGTAAAGATTGGAAAGCTTTCGTGCACTCGAATAACTCTATTTATGGGATGCATATATACCATTCTGTTTTAAAACCCAGGGTAAATATCATTCTTTTATGTTCCTAGTGTTCTCTAATTGAAATAAATTATTAACAATTCAAATTGTTACGATCTACAGATTTCGAATCCATGCAATTCAAACCCTTGTTCGCAATTGTGTTTGCTAAATTCAGAGAGTGGGTATTCATGTGCTTGTACGTTGGACAAAGAACTCAATTTAGATCAACACACATGCCGTGGTAGGTACCAATGTTATTGCACCTTAATGTTTCGTTAAAAAATATGTAAAATGTTATAAAATTATAAAAATTTCAGTTACCAAAAAGAGAATGCGTCTTATCATCGCGGCAGGAAGTACATTCATAAAGTACGAGCATGAATTGCTGGGGAAACCAAAAATAACAAATATTAATACATTTAAACACATCACCGCGGCTGTTTATAATCCTCTTACTGGTAAAATTTGTATAATTAATTACTGAATTTATAGACGAACATCATACTTGTTTTATCAAACGGGCAACAGTTTTTATTACAAAAATTATTGCCTCTGTATAAAAGCTTTCGAGAAGCTGAATGTTATCATCGATTTTAGTTTGCCTTAATTTTTCTGTCACAAATTTTCTGCTATACTTTCATATTTTTATAAAATTTCTCTGATATTACTCGACAATAGGTGATTTGATCGCGAACGATCAATTGTCGGACACCATTTTCAAATTCGACCGGGAATTTACCGGAGGCCTAGAAAACGTGATATCTACGAACGATACAATAGTGAGCGGAATGGACATCGATTATGTTGGGAATAATTTGTATTTATCGAATATGAAACTCAAAACTATCGACGTTTATAACTTGAAAACCTACAACAAAACGGTTTTCTATTTCCAAGACGAACCTCATGATATCGTGCTCGTACCGGAAGAAGGGTAATCATTTCCAAAGAAAAATAACTTGAATCTCTTTATAATATACAAAAAAACAAATAAGTTTCAAGCTGAACGTGCAAGCCTCGAATTTAGAATCGTTGTAAACAAATGTTTTAGTGTGATGTTCGTCGTTTTTGGCGCGAATGGAAAGTATCGCATAGATACAATGAAAATGCATGGAATTGGACCCAGAATTACGGTCGAAGGAAATAAAACCCCTTTGTTTGGACCGAAAATATCATTGTATTACGACAAAAATTTAAAACGACTGTTCTGGAGTGATCAACGCACTGGTCGTATTGGCAGCACAACGATCAATGGTTCGTAATAAAGAATCCTGGTCTAGAAGGCCAATTTTTAATCTTTTCTCGAGAATTTTTCCCCCCAAAAATACCATAGGACTAATTTTCTTCATTTTGATTTGATGTTAAATATGAAGAGACTAGAATACCCCCTTAAAGCGATTTAAAACGATCATTTTTTAAGGTTTCGAGACCAACATCTTCCGCACTGGACTGACGGAGCCTGTGAGTCTCGCAATTGTCGGCGATTATGTCTTTTGGACACAGTATAAATCAAATCAATTGTTCTGGACTAGCAAAAGCGAGACGCAACATTACCAGAAACGCATCGCGTTGGGTGAGTCGAACGAACCGAAAAATAATAAATAGACTGATGTTTATGCATTTATGGGAAATTTTAATCCTCAAGAAACTACAGAATGCATTTAATATGCAAAAATATAAGAAATAGTTAAAGTAAGATACGAATTATTATACAGGGTGTTCGGCCACCCCTGGGAAAAATTTTAATGGGGGATTCTAGAGGCCAAAATAAGACGAAAATCAAGAATACCAATTTGTTGATGGAAAGCTTCGTTAAAAAGTTATTAACAATTAAATTCAAATATTTCAAATCGTTCTGGAAAAATTATTTTCGGTTGCGGGGGTCAATTACAATCATTTTTTGTCATTAGACATACCCGCGAATTCCTGCCCACTTTCGAGAAAAAAAATAGAGAAGGTGTGAAATTATTCGACAAAATTAAAAAATTGCAAATCGTTGTGGAAAAAATTATTTTCGGTTGCAGGGGTCAACTACAGTCATTTTTGGTGAATAGACATACCCCCGAAATCCTATCTACTTTTGAGAAAAAAAATCGAGTAGGTGCTGAAATTTTTCGGCGAAAAAAGATTTGTCAAATCGTTCTAAAAAAATTATTTTCGGTTGCGAGGGTCAATTACAATCATTTTTTATCGTTACACATACCCCCGAAATCGTACGCACTTTCGAGAAAAAAATTCCTTACTGAAAATCTAATTAGGTGCCATTCAACGGAGAAAAAAAATTGCAAATCGTTGTGGAAAAATTATTTTCGGTTGCGGGGGTCATTTACAATCAGTTTTTGTCATTAGACATACCCGCGAATTCCTGCCCACTTTCGAGAAAAAAAATAGAGAAGGTGTGAAATTATTCGACAAAATTAAAAAATTGCAAATCGTTGTGGAAAAAATTATTTTCGGTTCCGGGGGTCAACTACAGTCATTTTTGGTGAATAGACATACCCCCGAAATCTTGCGTATTTTCGAGAAAAAAATTCATCAAGGGCGGCACTTTAAACGTTAATAACTTTTTAACGAAGCTTCCATCAACAAATTGGTATTCTTGATTTTTGTCTTATTTTGGCCTCTAGAATCCCCCATTAAAATTTTTCCCAGGGTTGGCTGAACACCCTGTATTTAGGGGTTGAGACAGCCCTCTTTGCATAAAGATCTGCACTCTAATAATAAAGCACGAACGAATATATTTTGAATGATTTGTGAAACAATTATTCTTCTTCAGACATACCGGAAAGTTCGAATATATTGCACTTAGTCGGGTTACGCGAAACGTATGTAAATGATCACAAATGTCGCAGAAACAATGGAAACTGTTCTCACGTGTGCCTGGTGTCTACTCCCCGTTCTGGCGTAAGTCATAAATACTGTAATTAACAGGCAGATTCTAATTTATAAACGAATCTACGAGCGAAGTTAGTTTGCAAATCGATCGAAAATTTGTAATTCTTCGAAATCCCCAGATTTGCGCGTGTCCACCCGACATGATGCTGAGTGCAGACAATCGAACGTGCATTCCTCAAACTGCCTGCAGTCGGGGTGAAATAAAATGCGGGGAACACGATATATGCATAAAATTGCATCAAAGGTACGGTATTAAAATCATTACTGTACGTTTGTAAATAAAATAAAGATATCCTTCGATTTTTTACAACATCGTTTTCGTGACAATTTCAGATGCGATGGCGTTAAAGACTGCCCTAACGGCGAAGACGAATCAGGCGTGTGCGGCGAACTGGAATTGTCGAAGTGTACAAAAGACAATCAATTTCAATGTAAAAGCGGGGAATGTATTAACAAGACGGCACGTTGCGATTCCCATTACGACTGTATAGATCGATCGGACGAGGAGGACTGTGATAAAAAAGAATGCAACTCTAGTAAATCCACTCATTTACTAAATATTATTTACAACATCTTCATTGTTTACAACAATAAGACTGTTTAAATTTAGCGAAACGTTATACTAGATATATACTGTGTATATGAACGAACAATATGATGTAGATCAAAGATAAGAACTATTCGATAGCAGTGTTCGTATATAATTATATTACGAACAGAAAACTCGATTATTACTCAATAAATTAATATTGTTTAAAACCATAGTGTAGTTGTGCTTGTGTGATTATAGCTGAATTGATCAATCGTTACTTAAGCTCAAAGAAATTATTATTGATATACTTCGCCGCGTAATAATTCACTACTTTACGAATTTTAAATCTGAATAGAATATTATTTTTAATTAATATTTAAATAGAATTTTATTCGTACTCTTCCTTATTGATTTCAAATTTTATTTAAATAATATAGAAAGGGTGGGTTTAAGCGATATGAGCACTTCGATAAAGTATTAAGATTAAGTTTGAGATCTCTTCTGTTGGATTTTTATACTGAATCTGTTCCGCGCGATAGGAAACGTTGAGTTTGCATACCTGAACGAATAAATGATATTGTCGCGATTGATATTCGATAGAAAGTTGAATAAAGCTCAGCGATGCTTCGAGAACCAACGATCACTCAACAAATTTTATGTCTTTTAGGTGAGTTTCAATGTCACGAAGGAAAATGCATATCAAAATATCTTTTATGCGACGGGCAACCCGACTGTTCTGATTTTTCCGATGAAATGGATTGCTCCAAACACGTTTGCGACACTGATAGTTTCTCATGCGACATGGGAATGTGTATTCCGAAATCGTGGAACTGTGACGGTGAGGTGAGTCCCATGATCCCTATTAATATCATAGGACGGAGTCACGGCGTGCAATGCATTCTTCTAATGCAAATTCAACTAAACGTCGCCGAACAGGAAGTTGTTTTTCATGATCGTTCCTTACGTAACGTGTTATTTCGATTTCCATCTACTTTTATACAAAGGTGTTCGGCCACCCCTAAAAAAAATTGTAACGGGAGATTCTAGAGGCCAAAATAACACGAAAATCAAGAATTGTAATTTGTTGATTGAGGCTTCGTTAAAAAGTTATTAACGTTTAAAGTTCCGCCCTTACTGAATTTTTTTCTCGAAAACGCTAAGGATTTCAGGGGTATGTCTATTGACCAAAAATTATTGCAATTGACCCCCGCAACTGAAAATAATTTTTCCAGAATGATTTGAAATTCTTCAATTTTGCCGAAAAATTTGTCTACCTATTGAATTTTTTTCTCGAAACTGCGTAGGATTTCGGGGGTATAGCTATTCACCAAAATTGATTGTAATTGATCCCTGCAACCGAAAATAATTTTTTCGGAACGTTTGGAATCTTTTCAATTTTAGGCACCGATATTTCTTAGAAATTCGTTTTTCATTTTTAGTTATTTTATTTGACGCTCTACAGAAAACATGTCTAATACTTTTTTGTAGATACCCACGAACTCTACTTTAGAAAAAAGTTTCAATGAGATACGTTCACTATTGTAGAAGTTATGGATGTTTGAAAATTGGACCATTTTTATAGGGGTTTTTCTCATTTTCCGTGATCAAGGAGCAACTTTTCGAATATTTTTGGAATTTCTACATATTCTATGCCAAAATACGCGTTGTTTGCCGTTTGAAACATTAAAATCCCCCAATTCATTCAGAAGTTATGGCATTTTTATGAAATTTCGGGGAACCATTTTTGGCCTCAAATTAGATTATTGGTAAGGAATTTTTTTTTCGAAAATGCGTAGGATTTCGAGGGTATGTCTATTCAACAAAAATGATTATAATTGTCCTCCACATCCGAAAATAATTTTTCCAGAACGATTTGACATTTTTTTTAACGTCGAAAAATTTCACACCTTCTCGCATTTTTTTCTAGAAAATGGGTGGGAATTCGAGGGTATGTCTATTCACCAAAATTGATTGCAATTGACCCTCGCAACAGAAAATAATTTTTTCAAAATGATTTGAAATTTTTTAATTTTGTCGAAAAATTTCACACTTCTCGAATTTTTTTCTTGAAAATGCGCAGGATTTCGAGGGGATATCTAATCACAAAAATTGATTCTAATTGTCCTCCACATCCGAAAATAATTTTTCCAGAACGATTTGAAACTTTTTTTTCCGTCGAAAAATTTCACACCTTCTCGAATTTTTTTTTAGAAAATGGGTGGGATTTCGGGGATATGTCTATTCACCGAAGATGATTGTAATCGACTCCTGCAACCAAAAATAATTTTTTCAGAATAATTTGAAATTTTTTAATAACTGTTTAAGGAAGCCTCAACCAAGAAATTTATATTCTTAATTTTCGTTTTATTTTGGCCTGTAGAATCTCCCATTAAAATTTTTCCCCAGGTGTAGCCGAGCACTCTGTATGTTTGAATGGACAGAATTAATTGAAACGTGAATTTTTCATTACGAACACATGCATATAGCATGTTTCGCTTAAACTCTCGATCGTAATCTTTTTATTTTGTATTTTGATTCAGGTGGACTGTCCAGACGCTTCTGACGAAAGTGAAACGTGCCATAGACAATCGTGTCCACCTGAAACGTTCACGTGCAGCAATGGCCGTTGCATAGACAAGACGTTAACGTGCGATGGAATCGATGATTGTCAGGATTACAGCGACGAGCAATACTGTACGCAAAAGGCTAAGGAGAAATTCGTCAATTGCACAGCGAACGAGTACAAATGTTATAATACGGAAATGTGTCTTCCAGAACGAGTAAGGTGCGTCATCCAAACTCACTCTCAAATATGGCCGACCACCCACCCCATAGATCGGTCCCTGAAAGGGAAAACCACTGTTGCAACCGAAAATAAGATTTTCAAGATAGTTTTCGAATAAATTTCAAATCTACTTAATAAATCTCTAATGTTTACAAAGATTATCACTAACTGTTATAGACACAATAAGAATTCTAAACTATAAGATGGTAGTTTCGATTGCACGTATGGACTTAAAAAAATATAGCGAAAACTCCAAAAAAAAATCTCGAAATCGCGTGAAAAAGTCGATATTTCTTTTAAAGTCGCGTAGAAATTAATTGATAAATCGAAAATTCTTTATTTTATAGGTGCGATGGAGTCCAGGATTGTCCAAAGAACGACGACGAGCGTAACTGTGCTCGTTGCCAGAAAGGGGAGTACACTTGCGACAATAAAAACTGCATCGACAACTCGTGGGTTTGCGATACGATCAACGACTGCCTCGATGGATCCGACGAAAGAGATTGCGACGGTAGTAAATCGAGAAATATCGTTTCAAGCACGATGTCTAATTGCAAAGAATTCAAGTGTTCTAACGGAGTTTGCCTGCCATTTGAGAAAGTGTGCGACGAGATAGCGGATTGTTCGGATCGAAGCGATGAATTTGGAGAGTGTAGTAAGTATCGTAATAATAAAGAGACCATGACTATCGACGCGTCAAATAATGCAAAATATTAACAGAGCAATTTGAATTTGCAATTTTTTAAACCTTCTTAGATTTCTACTAGAATTGGCTTCCGGGTTGGAGCCGCGTTCAGAAGACGCGAGAGTCTACAGAGAGATACTACAGTATCAGAGATTATTTATCTCTCGTCTTCTGAACGCGGCTCCAACCCGGAAGCCAATTCTAGTAGTAATCACTATGGCCGCGAAAGCCTAAAAAGTACTTCTTAGATTTATTGTTCTTCCAGCGCTCTCGTGCACGAAAAATAATCCCTGCGAAAATATATGCTACAAGACACCCCTTGGCCCAATGTGCGGCTGCCCGACCGGATATCGATTGAGCAGCGATCGAAGATCGTGCGAAGACATCAACGAATGCGAACGTAACATTTGCCCGCAATCTTGTCACAACAAGGACGGATCCTTCACTTGCTCTTGCTACGAGGGATACGTGCTTCGAAGCGACAAAATCTCTTGCAAAGTGGCTGGTAAGGGTCCAAGAACGTAATCGATTTGATCAATTCTGATACGACTTATTACAACAGGACCACCCATGGAAATAATCTCTGTCTCTGGAAAACACATCAGGAAATTGTCGCAGAGTTTAAGCTCGACTACGGTCCTGCACACTGAATTGAATTCCGAAATAAGTGGCATCGACGTAAACGCGAGAATGGAAACCATCTATTGGAGCAACGGTAAGACCGCGATAAGCTAATGCGTATATCGGTACAAAAGAAACGTGTGTCACAGCGTTTGCAAACGAATCGAAGCGTTATCAAGACCAAAGGCTTGTGGATTAAATATTAAGCCTGTTGGGAAGATGAACATCAGTTGTGATGCAAAACCAATTAAAACGTTGGCGCAAAATAATAAAAATAACACGATCATTTAATTTTCGTTGAAAAGAACATTGTACACGTCGCTGTGCATTTAACTTTATTTTTAATTTTATGCAAGCGTTGGATGAAATAACCAATTCCACGAAAAAAGTATATGTTTTGGCCAGAATAATAAAAATAACACGATCGTTTAATTTTGGTTGAAAAGAACATTGTACACGCCACTGTGTATTTAACTTTATTTTTATTTTTATGCAAGCGTTGGATGAAATAACCAATTCCACGAAAAAAGTATATGTTTTGGCCAGAATAATAAAAATAACACGATCGTTTAATTTTTGTTGAAAATTCAAAACATTGTCCAAGTCACTGTGTGTATAATTTTATTTTTATTTTTATGTAATTTTCATTGTCCTCAGATGTGTTAGGTATGATAAATAAATTACACATAAAGAGCAAGGAACGAAAGACTATCACCGGCCTTGGAAGACCGGAAGCGCTCGCCGTTGACTGGATCACAGACAATGTGTATTTTGGCGACAACGATCACGTGAGCAGTATCAAGGTACAATATTGTTGTTAATGAAATATTTACCCAATCTAGTATGTCACGAAAGTAATTGTCTACTGATAATTTTTCAGGTATGCAATCTAGAGGAACGGAAGTGCGCGAACCTGGTTACTATAGGATCACGAATCAAGCTGATGTCTGTTGCTGTCGATCCAAAACAGGGGTATATTTGAGTTTTTAAACTGCTTCGCGTTATCTTTAATTTAATGCAATGTTGAAAAGCGAACGAACTTATTGTTGGACTTATAATGTTTTACAATTATATAAAATTGTGATCCAGATTGCTATTTTGGAGTCAAACAAGTTGGATAGAGTACAACCAGCCCACCAGTGCGATACGTAGGTCCAGTACAACGGGTTCTAGCGTAACAACGATTGTTTCACGGAAAATTGGTATCGTCTACGCGATAACGATCGATCACATGAGATATAGACTATATTGGTCGGATACTCTCTTAAAAACTATCGAGTCTTCAAATTTCGACGGTTCTGATCGCGTGGAATTCTTGAAAACGGATGTGAGTACAGTCGAATCGGTATTAGCTAATTATTCAAGGCTTTCTTATGTATCGATGCATCCAAAACAATACTAACATACTCGTGCTCTAAACCTAATAATTAAAAAATTATTACAATTGAAAGTTTACTAAGTTATTTTTATATATCTGCACACTTGCTATTCTCGTGTCTAATTTCACAGGGTTATCAAGCTCTAAGCATGAACGTGTACGAAGATAATTTGTATTGGCTGATGGGCACCACCAGTACGTTAAACAAATGTAAATTATTTGGTGACCAATCTTGCTCGTCGATTTCCCTTGGTAAATCGAACATCGAAAAATATTTCACGATTTTGCATACATCGAGGCAACCTATCGGCAAGTATAATGATTAATCATGTATCACTGAGTGAAAAGTAAATAATATTAGCAAGGAATATCCAACTTAACACTTTACCGACCGGTAGCGGTTGATTAATAGGCTATCGGTCGGTAAACGTCGACCGATAAAACAGTCGATTAATAGGCTATCGGTCGGTAAAGTGTTAACAAACTTTTGCTGCTATTTTTTGAACTATAATATTTCGAAAGTAAAAGAAAATACATTTTTGTTTATTCTAATATGCTGATTTGCGTTTTGCAACTTTGTTGAATAGGAAGAAACACTTGCGAGGATCATAAATGCGATTACATGTGCGTATTGGATAGGAATAATTCTCTATGTATTTGCCACAATGGACACCCAAATGATTCCAAAGGCACTTGCGCAGAAGACATAAATACAGGAATTAAATTTCATCTGAGTACGGATAATAAAAAAATCAGTCGTCAACAAAATGGAGCGTTGATTGGAATAATCGTCGCGTTATTGGGATGCGTCAGCATTATGACTGTGTATTTGTACTATGACAAAATCAAACCCACTTTTACGAAAAGAAATACTCTGAAGTAAATCATTTTCAAATAATTCAAAATAATTATTCATTTTTTTTAAATTTCTATATGGAAATATCTTTCTCATTTGCAGTATTCATTTCCAAAATCCAAGGTACGAACGACGAAGCGAGATACCGTCACATATATCCAGTTTACCTCCGGGGGAACACGAGTACGTGAATCCAGTGATTAATATATCAAAGGTAACATAATTGCATCGCTTTTCGATCGCAAAATACGTACATTTATCAATTTGAATTTTTTATTCAGAAGCAGCAGAAAGATGAAATAGAAAAAAGTGATATACAGATAATAAATCTACATTCCGATCTGTCGGAAGACGAGACTACAGATTCAGTGTATAAACATAACACTCGATTAATTTATTAAGATACAAATAAAACTGAACGTCAAATTGAAATGGAATATTTATAAATATTTAATAAATATTATTTCAACAAATCGATCATCGGTATAAATTTTTTAAAAGTTCATTTAGCTAAGGCAAATTCTACCTTTCATCTTATCGACTTTCGTGGCTAAATGTGACTGCCATACCGACCTGAAAATTCGCAAATGATCGTCAGTTGAGAAACTATTCACTGAATTAGTATTGATAGGCAAACAGTTCTAGTGTTGCGTAAATACATGTGAGTTGACTATGAAAGAAATTAAAATTCATTCTAAATCTGTCGGTAACGTTGCGAATGACACGAAAATAGTAATGGGGTTTCGAGACGCCATAAAAATAGGCCGCAAAAATACATTGGATGAAGGATCTACTTCTATACCTCATCTGTTACAATACTCTAGAATCTTTGATGAATTAATGAGAATCAAAACTAACCTAATGAAGAAGCCCTATATTTATGATGACCTATGCAAGGCGGATCGCAGCCAATTTGCTAATAATATTTAGTTTTTAATTAATAATTGCATTACCTAGCTAAAAGTGATACGATTATTAATTAAACCCTAAATAATATTACCCAGGTCTCACCACGAGGAGGTTGCTGCGAATGGAGACCCGCCCTAACCGATTCCCAACCACCCTCCATTAGTAAAGATCTTTTATGATCAACGATCGTTGGTCGAAGAAGCAATAAACGAAAGTGCAACCAACGAAGGAAACAACCAACGAAAGAGTTTTTTGAGAAAGAATTTGCCTCTAAATTCTCATCAATAAAACAGAAAAATAGACCAAAATATTGCCTGCCTGATGTAACGATTAATATAGAGAACCAAACTCCTGCCTAACTATAAATCTAAATTCACTTACATCCTACCTATCTAATCATCTAACAAAATACATAGAAAATATATTCTTCCTTGTTGATTCTTCGACGAAAATTTCATGAAACATACTTTTATATTCTACCTAACTATAAATCTAAATTATTAAAACATAAACTAAGCAATCTGAAATAAAATACATGAAATACATTCTTCTTTCTTCTATCTTCTATTTATCCCACGATGATTTCCTGAAACACAAACCAAGCAATATCAAACAAAATTGTAACAATTCTTAATTGTTACCTCTATAGACCTAAAACTTCCATAGGAATATGCTCTGAAACAGAAACTTCTTCAATAGATTAGTAAGAGAACAACACTGAATCTGTAAAACTACAAATACTACAACTACAGGCAAGTGCAGTGAGAAAGTAAAAATAGTACATCATAATATACGAGGTTACTTTGACTCTAAAATGTATTCGTCGCGAAATATCTTCTTGCACGTGAATCTAATGATATACTTTAATAAGTAAAGAAAGACTTTGGGTATCCTCGATATCGAAGATACCCAAAGTCGTCGACTCAATTATGGAAGTGAATTTAATTATTGAAGAATGTAAAGAACAACCGGAAGCTACTAATTTGACACTCTTTCTAAAATTAATATAATTATAAGTATTATAAAAGATATTAAAATCATGACTCTACTTTCAATCGATATTACGGTATTTGTCATATTAAAAATTGCGGCGTATAAAAACATCGCACGCTTAAATAAAACGCGACCGCGACACGTGCTCATAGCGTGCAGTGAGTGTGGGTATCAGATTGATCCCCCCCGGCCTTGATTATCAGAAAAGCAAGTCGCGCCCCTGACCCACGTCTATCGGACCTCTCTACGTACAACCGCCGGGCCCTGGAGGACACACGGTCACAACAGGACCCGCTTAGTACTCGAGAACGGATATGGGTCAAGAACTCTCACCGGAGGTCATTCTCTTTTCCGTATAAAGAGGAGAATATATGCGCTCGGCGAGGCCCCACTTAAGCTGAACCAAGCTGCACCGGGGTTGAAGCGGTAAGAGCTATCACACCTAATACACAGGTGTCACATGTTTCATTCAATCAAACAGAGGTGATCGAGCAAAAAACTCTCCGGTCCTTTCGGTCGAGACATAATCTCGGAAAGCGAGAACCAGAGAACAAGCGAACGAGAGATTACAGATGTATATGTAATAGAGATATATGTACTCATTATATATTCATTTTAAAATGAGTGTCAAATTAAAAATAATTGAATCTACTATGACATTTGTCATCTTAAAAATCGCGGTGTGCAAGAAGATTATAATTTTAAGTAAAAGGTACTAACTACACTTGCCAAAGAAAGCACGTATACAACCAGTCGTTTTACCTCCTTGCTTTACGATTTAATTTCCAAGTGTGCGTCCCAAAAGCGACACCAAGGTTTGGCCCGGTAGACTTCTCACGTCTCTGAGATGTGAAACAATTAAAAATGATCTATCACCTAGCTAAAGGGAATTGAGCAGAGTATATTAGTAAAATGTTACAAAAATTTAAGCTGAAACGTAAAAATAAAAATCTTATATGAATCAGTGTCATCGAAACAAATATGGTATATGCATCGACAGCATATTAAACATATCAAAACGAACATTCGCAATTGTAATGAAAGAAACTTGGATAGAGACACCAAGTTGAATCAACACCAAACAACCAAACAAAATGGAAGAATCAAACAAAGTACCTCCGTAGAATATTACGAGAATTCGAGCAAGAATATAATATTACGTTATTATATCTTGCAATATTATACATATCAAAGCAGTCAGATAGATAAATAAAGTTGAATTCACATCAAACAAACAAATAAAAATAATAAAATATAAATAAGTGGAGTGGACTTACTACTTGTTGTCAGTACATAGGGTAGTTACCACTGGGTCATCTATAAAGTAAGAAAATATTCATATTATAGCAACTTCAGTTAGACAAGCAAGGCAAAATCAGTTCATTGAATCAAAATTAGCATCAAACGGTAGAATAGAAGAGGGGAGAAAATTTTTAAACAGTTCTTACCGTTGGTCATCACCGTCCGGCACTGGTCAGTAGTGGTCAGCAGTGGTCAGTAGTGGTAGGAGCACTAGTCAGAACTGGTCAGTACTGGTCAGTATTGGTCAGCCATGGTCAGCCATTGTCATCGCTGGCCAGTAGTGGTCAGCAGCGGCCCCCGGTACTCTTCTGGCGATTCGTACACTCCCGAATCCGCGACGAGACTGAAGAATTCTTCGCAATGACCCTGCTTATCTATCTAAGGTAAGGAAAGGGTGGGGAGACCAGTCAGAGCCAAAGTTAAAGTTAACAGTTAAGACTGTCTTGTCTACACAGAAACTATTTCGAATGGTCTCACCTCTTGACCATTTCTGGATCTTCACTGGACTACTGACCTTGATGTCAACCTCACTGTTGACCACCAGTGACCATAAGCTCGTCATTGTTGATCATCGACCCATTAAGCGTTTCTTAGTTACGTAGGTAATGTTTTATAACAGAGAGAGTAATAATCATTTCTCGGATATATTAATATAACATTTGTTTAATTTTAATCATTGGTCATATTTCTCTCATATAGTTTCGTTTTATTCGTAAGAATATCATCACTTTTTAGGCGCATACACAAATTTCAAGAACGATAAGAATCGATAGTCGAACGTAAAAGTATATTCTATAAAGTTTTTCATCGCGGGTAACATTGAGCTATTTTACGATCGATAAAATCATAGGGCAATATTAACAATAAGTTATTCAAAATATATTTCTTCATAATATTAAATTACATCACAATTATTTAAATATTTGTTATGTTAACTAACAAGGTAGGGACCATCGATAGCACCAAATCCTGCTGCTATTCCAACTTCATTTTCATTGGACAGTTTGGTTCTCAAAATATGGCCTACTTCTTCGTTATACATGATATTTTCATGATCTCTATAAGAGAGAAAATTCGTTATCATACAATATAATTTGGAATGTTAAAATGAAATAAAAACTGTTCATTTACCCTATAATAACACCGTAAATACCCAGCTCTGATACAACATCGGTAAAACACAAATTATGATTTTCAAACGGCTCCTTTTCGGCACGTACAATGTAATTCTTTTGGACTGGAGGATACAAACGATCCATAAGTATCCAAGCAGTTCTTTCATCCGAAGATTTCATAGATTCTAAACGTTTTTTCACATTTTCGTCATACACATTGTTTCCACCACCTTCTCTTTGCGGTTTGAGAACGTATTTTGTTGGATCTAACATAACTTTCTTAATTATCGTCTCTGCCTCTTCGTTCTGTTTTCCCGAAATAATAATAACCAATTGACACCAATTAAATATTAAATTAATATTTATAATATCGACACTATCGTTGTTTTTTATACTTACAAATTCTAATGAATAAAGCCCAGTAAATATTTCTTCCACTCGTTTGATATCATTTTCTTTTAAAAACGCTTTCAAAGCGTTAGGGTATGCTAAAGATTGTTGTATCTAAAACCAGAGTGTACTTTTTTAAAATATATTTCAACCAATACGTATATTTGAAGAGTACCTTTTTAGTACCAGCTAAATGATATTGTATTGATGGACATTTTATTGCACGGGAACGTTCTATCAACAATCTAACAGACCATTCATGTTCTGTAGGATAAGCTTCGATTTCATAACCAGAACGGAAGTAGACTACAGAAACTATTTGATCTCCACTAACAAAAAATACATTTAAAATGATTACTCAATAATTTTTTATTTAAATATGAACGGTGTATTTAATAATACTATGGGAAACTTCCAATTACTTAATATAACTCATTTATAATTAATATTCAAGTGTATTGTTAAATTACATATACATACATTATTAACTCTTTATTAGATCCCAGTTTTGCTTCCGATACTAAATCTTTCAAGCTCCTTCTAATTACTTTAATATCAGGATTGATTTTACGAATTTCGAATTCATGAAACCTTTGATCACATATATTATAAGTGATATTTTCACAAACAAATAATATTATAGACCTAAAATTGAAATTATTAATTACACAACAGTTAATTATGTACTTACTTTTGACTGTAAAACCAGGACTACATACTGCATATTATCATATAATTTCCATGCATACGTCAATCCCTTGCAAAGACCTGTAATGGGATTATTGTCTGGTATCTAAAAATCAATACATTATTGAGAACACATTCCTTCATAGAATGCAAACACAAAAGGATGAATATACTAACATTTTTTATTTTGTCCCCATGTCCCAATTCTGATAAAATATACCTAACAAATTTTGATACCATGAGAAAAAATTTCAAATACACAATTTTGATAATAAAAAATTTACTTATGATATTTAGTAGTAACTGTTGCTATTCCTCCAAAACTACTCGAAATAGTATTCAATTCGACTTGCTTGATTTGATTCTCATGTAACATATAATCAGATCGAAGCAAACCAACACTTATGGTCTGTGAAAAGAACATATTTCTATTATATAAAACACATCATATAATTTGGATGGTTTGTATCTTGAATTTAATAAAAAATAGAAAAAAACTATAAATGAAACAGTCGAATGGCAGTCTACTTTTTTACAACTTTGCATTAACTCAAATATAAATGCATTTAACATAATGAAAAAATACAACCTTTATTCTTTCTAATTTTTTTTCTGTCTCTCATCAAATTTGATTAAATTTCTATTAAATATATGTTAGTTTACTTGACTATATCCTTCTCTATGTACAGTTTCATAAATATCGAATAATTTTGCTGTAAATGGATCGGCATCGATTGTACTAGAAATAAGAAAATAATTAAAATAGCTGTAATAATGTAAGTAGAATCTTTTCTAATTTCGCATACCTTTTTAAGCTTTTTGTAATAAAACTATTACTATGCGCAACCTTATGAATAAGTTCGTTTAATAACACTTGAATGCATTTTGCTTTCTCAAAATCCTTTCTAGGGAAACTAGATGGCAATAAAGCAAATGGCAAAACTTGTACATGATTTTTGTTAAAGGATTCTTTCGATCTGAAACTAATACCTACGAGAAACATTTTTAATAACGGCTAAAAAATCAATGAATAAGTTGTTGATTTTTTTAAAAACGTTTGTATTTACCATGCATAAGTGCCCAATCTTTAGCCTTATCTACTATATTTTGCAATTCTTCGTTTGAAATTTGTAATTGAATGCAAGGTTGCAATCGTGAAACCTCCATAATTACAGATATTAACACGATAATACGAAATATCAAAGAAGAAATAAGCTATCGCTTGAAATGATGATTTTAGATAATAACGATAAGTTCAGACGAGTCATTACTTTATCTTGCGCTATATCTATATGTAACCATACTAGATCGTAACCCAATTTTTATAGAATTATTCGTATCACTTTTACACAATCATACGGAAATTACGGAGTTTACAACTGTCAACAACTCACTATAGCAAAACGGAGCGGCTCCTATAGTATATGGAAATACTGTCGTCCGCATTCCTGTGGGCGATCCACAACGGTAGCGCTACATGGAAATCCAACACCAGTTCATGGCGCCGCCATCATGGCGACTGATCCCCATAGAGATACCACACCAGTGCCCTGATCTTCGTCAACGCTCCAAAAGGCGATCTAGGGAAATCCTTTTCACCAAACCGACGGAATCCCGCCATATATCACATCGTAGATGGTGGTCCACACATGGAGATCAATGAAAGTCAGGCAAAATGTTCATTTTTAATATTTTTCTCGAGAATAGTCAATAACCGTAACTAAATTATTCATACAATTAATACGAATGAAGTTTTGATGACGATCACTAAATCATCTGTTTCATGCTTTTAATTTTCAATTTCACTGCTCGAGCGCTTTTAAATACGTATATATCGGGTCTTCAAAATCGTATGTTTCATGACCGACGCTTGCGCTGTTCTGTTCCTTCTGTGAAAGCACAGTTCTTTCACTCATAAACCTCTGCTTTGTACTATTGTGTACTTTTAAAGCAGAACACCGAAATATTTATATTTTGTGTGAAATACGTTCGAACCGCTGTATATTTGAGCGAATTTACATAAAAACAATCATCAATTGTAATCTACCCGAAAGAAATATTGTAATAGTCTAAATCGTATTGCTGCTTCATGTTCCATCATGAGTGACTATTCAGCGGTTGCTCCGCCTCAAAATTTTAGTCAAAGCTCCGCGTTTGCGGCGGCTTTGCAACGTGCAAAACAAGTAAGTGAGTACGTCAAACTAATTTAGCATAGGTTATGATTGTCTTAAGATCTCGTAAGTAGGCCATAAAATCTATTATACCATCGTTGATGCCATGGGTAGATTTAGATTATTAATAAACAAATAATTCGTAAGCGCGTTGGTATCATTCGTTCCCGGCAGTGAACGCACATTTTTATCATTTTCTTAATTTCATTAGAACGATTTTGAAAAAGGCAACCTTTACATTGATGTTTATTACTGCATTTATGATGTTAACAAATTTTGATTCATCGTGTTATTTACTTTATCTGTATCAGTTACATTCCCACTAAATCATTTATGTTAGCGTAAATCTATAAATTACTGTTTAATTGATATATTGTTTAATGGATAGTTATATTATTTGGATAATTCGTTACCGGTACAATAATGTTATAGGTAACGGATTATTAATAATTACTAAGTAAATGCGATTAATTTTTAGATAGCTGCTAAGATTAATCCTGCTGGTGCTCAAAATAATCAAGATGCCAAGTTAAAGCGTCCTCTTGAAGACGGCTCAGGTAAGAATATCATATATACGTAAAAGTAATATTTGACTGATTATAACAGGGAATCAATAATGCGATTTATATAAAAATCATGATATTTGAATAGCCTTAGAAATTCTTTTTATCGAAACGAACGAATCTGTTCAATTGAAACTTAACTTAGCATAACATTTCTTACAAGTAAAAGATCCATCTTTATTTATTGGATAACAATCAAGTTATCCTTCCAGAACCTGAAGCAAAGAAAATGGCATCATTAGTGGCAGATCCATTGATTGGACTTCGTGGTCCACCAGGAAGTAATTCATTAGGAGATTCGAGCAATCAAAGTGGGAGGACAGGACCAACGGGATCGTCCTCAGGACCAATTGGGAATGTAGGAGGTATTTGTAATGAAGATATCAGAGTTCCAGATAAAATGGTTGGTCTAAGTAAGTAACAGTGAAATTATAAGTATTTCTTTCTACAAAAAATTGAACGATTAAATATAATTTAATGCGTTGAATATTGTGTTAAATGTTACTAATAATTACATGCTTTCTTTGAGGAAGAATTAGTTATGCTTTCCTTTTTCATTTAGCATTATATAGTGGCATGAAAAAGTTTTCCGTCGAATGGTTTTTCACATTTTTGTTCACAAAAGCAAAACTTAAAGACGTTTGTATTAATATTGAGCATACAAGCATATTATGTTTTTACATAATATATTAGAAAAAAGAATATTAGAATTATTGGAAAGGAAAGGAGGGGGGCGCGTTTCGTTCGGGGCCTGTTTAGTGGGACTTATCGGTAAAGGCTTTCTAGCAGGCCCTACCTTAAACGAAATATTGGGAAGTCGCTTAAAGAATGTATATATAGTAACTGAGGGGTCAGTCGAGCGCTTGTGAGAGCGTGATCCCTCTGGTGGCGAGCATGGGAGGCGACGTCACAAAAACAACTATCTTTTTTGTCATATTTTCTTCAAACAATATGCCCTTGTACTCGATAATAATACAAATTTTTTTAAGTTTTACTTTTAATTGAAAATGTGAAAAAAGACTGTAAACTTGTGCACATCACTGTATATTGTATATGTAAATTACTATGTCCACACATTTTAACAATTAAGTAAATATTATGACGAAACAGTTGAATAGTATTCAAAATTATTATGTTCACTGTAGTTTTTAGAAATTTTAATACGTAATAGTATTTTCTAGTCTATGCGTTATTAATTAATGATATGTTTGCAGTAATTGGCAGAGGCGGGGAACAAATAACAAGATTACAAAGTGAAACAGGATGTAAAATACAGATGGCACCAGAAAGTGGTGGGCTACTTGAACGTGTTTGCACATTAACTGGCTCGCGAGAAGCTGTCAAGTAACTTGTTTTTCCCTTCTTATTTCGTTAATTTTAACTACTTTGTATGCAATGCAATTATCCACTTTACAAACTCTTGCCTAGACGAAAGGATTACTTTGTTGCGCTACGTCGAGTGGCACTTATTAATTACACTACATAATACAAAATATATATTTTATATTTGTATATATACTTGTGTGCAATATATGTATATACGTATACACGTGTTGTATGCATTGTACATGTATAGAGTTATTGTGCATACATATAAATATGTATTTACATATATGTGTGTACATGTTCACATATAAACACATGTACAGAAAAAAAACGAACCTGCTATCCTCCTTGTATTTGATATATAGGAAATTTTTTTAGATTCTAATTTACATAAGTAACAAATTGTCCACCTAGTCTTGCCGTTGAATCTCCTAGAAACACCTGAAAGTATCAACTATTTATTTCAACAAAATGGTTTTTGAAAATTATATTGCAGTGTTGTTATAATCTAATATTACAGTGCTTCGTACACACTAAGTGTACTTGTTAGAAAATGTGTTTCGAGCACGAAATAGTACTGGCGAAATATAGTTTGCGTGTGTCTAGTATACTTCATATGCTATCACTTCATGTTAACATGCATTTCTTAAATGTAGGTTACATGCTTTCGCATACTGAAATTGTCAAATGTTTTACAGAGTCTTTATTTAGCTCCTGGATGTGAATAGCGGGCTCATACTTGACTTTACATATGCTTCAAAATATTATTATATTGAAAATTTGTCGATATGTTGTGGCTTTTAATTTAATAATTTTGTACTTACTAATAGTTTTTTGCTTTCAATAGGATATGGAGAAAGAAGGATGGAAGGAGGATAGGATATGCATGGAGACGTGTTATTCGCAACAGGAAGAAAATTGAATTTTTATTTATTTAAATCTTGCTTATAATTAAGCCTATGACAATTTTAACATGAAATTTGATTTTATTATATACACTTATGAAATAACTCTCTGTCAAACAAAAATTAATGTGACATTCATAACTTATACTTTGGCACACGGTAGACATCACATGTGTTGCAAACAAATTATATTATTGTATATTAATAGATTATATTTCTACTAAAAATTGTTCAAAATTATATCGCACATTTGAATTACGTGTGTTTCAGTCGAGCTAAAGAATTGGTACTATCGATTGTAAATCAAAGAAGTAGAACCGAAGGGATCGGTGATATGAATATGAGTGGGAGTAACAGTGGAATGATGGGGCACCCTGGATTCGTCGAGATAATGATTCCTGGACCGAAAGTCGGCTTGATCATTGGAAAAGGAGGGGAAACGATAAAACAGCTTCAAGAGAAATCTGGAGCTAAGATGGTTGTTATTCAAGAGGGACCTTCTCAGGAACAAGAAAAACCTCTGAGGTGAGAATTTAAATTCGTTTCATTCCGTTGATCCATATACCAAATTAATTTTGAAAATCAGAACGTCTTTCGACGGCAATAAAAGTTACACGTCTCTTTCTTCGTGTAGGATAACTGGTGATCCACAAAAAGTTGAATATGCCAAACAATTAGTATATGAATTAATAGCTGAAAAAGAAATGCAAATGTTTCATAGAGGCACAAGAACTAGCGATAGGAGCGGAAGTTATTCGAATGATAGTAATTTCAATCATGGTTCTGGAACCACTGATGGAGTGGAGGTATAATATACCTTGCGCAGATAATCGACTTGTCAATGTTATCTATATGCAGGAAAATATTTAAAAAGTTAGCTTACTTTTTTTTCTATACATTAGTGTTAATGACTAATGTGTTTACTCGTTAGGTACTTGTCCCAAGAGCAGCGGTGGGTGTTGTTATTGGTAAAGGAGGAGATATGATTAAAAAAATACAGGCAGAAACTGGTGCAAGGGTTCAGTTTCAACAGGGAAGGGAGGACGGTCCCGGAGATAGGAAATGTATATTGTCTGGAAAACATCAGGCTGTAGAACAAGTTCGTCAACGTATTCAAGAACTTATTGATAGTGTAATGGTAAATAATGTACTTAACGTTAGCTTAAGTTAACGCGTTTCATTCGAGTGTAGGATAAGCTATTGTTCCTTGAAATATTTTTTCTTAGAGAAGAGACGATGGTAGAGGTAATATGGGAGCAAGAAGTGGTCCACGAGGTAACGGATTCGGCGGTAACCGCAATCCGAACGAATACGGAGGATGGGATAGACGTCAAGGAGGACCCATGCAAGATAAAATAGAAACAACATTTACCGTTCCGTCGTCAAAGTGTGGTATTATTATTGGAAAAGGTGAAATATTAATTCACAAATATAAAGATAATCTCAAGATTTACAACAGATATATTTCAATTATTTCACAGGCGGCGAAACAATTAAGCAAATAAATCAACAAACTGGAGCACACTGTGAATTAGATAGAAGAAATCAAAGTAATGAGAATGAAAAAATTTTCATAATTCGTGGCAATCCTGAACAAGTCGAACACGCAAAGAGAATATTCAGTGAAAAACTGGGCATGGTAAATATCTGATAATATAAAAATAGAGATAGCTATTAAGTGTTATTAATTTATTACATAATTATTAATTAAAACAGGCGCCAGCTAATCCGTCGTTTACTGGCGCACAAGGAGCGATTGGATATAATCCAACCTGGAATACTGGAACGGCTTATCAGGCATGGCCAAATCAACCTCAAACAACTGATACTAGTATGTTTATTTTTGATTAAAAAGGTAGAAATACTTCAAAATTAAATACACGATTATTTATCGTTACAGATGCACCTAATCAAGCACCTGTTCAAGTGAACCCACAAACTGGACAGCCAGATTATAGCGCGCAATGGGCAGAATATTATAGATCGCTTGGTATGCATCGAGAAGCAGATATGATCGAGCAACAAGCGAAGCAAGGAAAACAAGATCATAATCCACCGACAGGTAAACAATATTAAAATCTCATTAATAAAGATAAAATTTTAATACATTTCTCTTGAAATTTCGGTGGTTAATTCGCTGTTCTAGGAAATCCACCGAATCAAGCTAACCCCTCGTCAACTGGTACTGCTGGGCCAGCTCAACAACAGCAACAACAATCGCAACCACAGCAAACGGGAGCTACACAAAATGGAGGTCAAGCCGACTACAGTGCACAATGGGCAGAGTACTATAGAAGTATTGGTAAAATAAAAGAAGCTGAAGCTATAGAAGCTCAAATGAAAGCAGGAAAGGTACGTTAACGGTTACGAATAGTAAATAATAGCAAACTGAAATGTAAATACGAAGACCAATACGTTCAATATCTTAGTTGGGAATGCAGAACAATCAAATGGCTCAACAACAAATGCAACAAGGCATGCAAGGTCAGTCAGGTCCAGCGGGCGGAGCTCCCAATGTCTTTCCACAAGCTTATGGTAGTTATCCAACGATAAATCCTGGTTCGACTCCGACGGGGTATTACGCGGCTGGGGCTGGATCTACTACGCAACCGCAAGCTGGCCAACAAAATCCATCTTTTCCCACGGGCTATCAGAACTATCCCTATTCGCAAACGAATACAGAAAGTTAAACTTCCATCAAGGAAAACATAAACTGTAAGTATTAATTTTTATCCGTTATAAAAAATGCATATATACCTGATTAAAAAATTGTATGATATGATATTTCATTTAATAATGTAACATGAGCATTGGGCACTCGTGTATAGTTTTATTTCTACTCCGTGATTAATGATATAATATAAAATATTCGTGAACTATATGGTACTAACGGTTGAATATATATTAACTAATTTGTGCTTTTTTATGTCATACAATTTCGCCCAAAACCTTCACTTATATTAAGTCAATGTAAAATTGAGTGCAGCAAAACGTGCAATTTTTAAATGCTTTTAAGTATTAAAAAATTTATTGATCGTTCGAAGATGTTACACTGATGAAAGGATTGTTTTAATTTGTTGCATTATAACACGCATGAAATTCAAATGCACAGTTTCTTGGTATATAAATTAATTGGAATTATTTAAAAATTAAAAACCAATCACTTGATTTGAATGTTTATAATCATCTCTAAAGAGGAAAGTATTTGAAGTTCCTAATGATGTTCATATAAACAAAACAAATACATTTATTCATATTTCATGAATATTATATATATTATCATTATACTTCTTACACGTATGTTTATATAATTATTTCGGTGTAAAGTAAATTACAATTAAACGAAATATACTTTTCTTTACACACGACGCAATTTCTATAATATATCATGGTACACATAAAATAATTTGATATTAATATGATATACTTACATATATATTTTCAATGTTCGTTTGTTAATTATATAATTGACCATATACCATTATGTTCGGTCACTGATATTTATATTGGCTTGATATTTATTATTTATTATGAAAATCAATGGTGTAAGAAGAAGGGGAATGCCATATGCGCAATGGTAACTATTGTTGATACTTTCAGGGAGTGAAATGTCTATAAAAGTTATAAATTCGTAATATTTTAATGTTTTTATCTGGTTTTATGAAATAATATATTTTACACCTTTGAAAGTATATCGATATTTATATATGTTTCATATGTTTTATTATAATTGTTTGTTTATTTCAGATAGTTTTCAGATAGTTTCGCAACGGGATGTGGTTAATGCCTGCTGTAACTTCATACACTGTTTACGATAAATTACGATAGTTGATCGCTTCGCAAAACTCATAAACTTTGAAAAAATGCCACTAGTACCGACTATGGTCTATTTATACTATAATATTTTGTGTTTTATATACAAAGATATATATACATATTGTAGGATATTCATGGTTTTAATTTTAAGTAATGAAAAATGCCCGAAATTTATCATTATAATATAATATCGACATGATGTCTACTTTGTGTTCTACTTATACTATTGTATGTATTTTTGTTCCATAACACCTGATTGTAATATAAATTCAAACTGGCAGGTGAAGCAGCAGGTCAGAAACAGGAACGAGGAATCCACAACAAATACCCATATTATTATGCTTCCCATTTGTCATAAAAGATACTAAAAAATTATCCTTACAAATGTATTGATAAGAGATACATCTAGAACTTATTTCAATATGTCATTATTTATGTTTCACTGTCTCATTCATGAAACATTCGTCTTTAGAAAATTAGAAAAAAAAAAAAACCTTTATAGTGTAAATGGTTGTAAAAGTCAGCCAAAATTCGTTTCTATTGTCTATGAATTGTTTTATCTATTATGTATGCAAGAGAATATGATACACGTATGATGGTCTACGTACACGCATATACTATTATAACAATACTAAATACAATTTTACCTTGGTTCCTTTGCTTTTTCTTGTCAAGTACCACTACTATTTTTAGATTTTTGGAGCTGCCAATTGTAGGGACGTTTACCCGTTCTTCGATAAATTTCAAGCGGATCCACTATTTTAAATCTTTCATTCAGCATTCTGTGTGTTTACATTCAAAGGAATCAGGACCTGCAAAACTGGAGAGTTACGGATGGCATAACAAATCACTGTTTGTTACATATAACTTGTATAATCATATATATTGTTTACTAATTTAACAAATGATTATTTACATGAATGTGTTAATTATAGTAGATAATTGTCAACAGATTTTACTAGTCATATGTTAAACTTCCAAGTTATTTAAGTTTTATTGAAAATTTAATATTTACAATATTTAGTTATGTTTATTACTTTATGACGTCAAAGAACGAAAATTGAAAATAGTCTCTATCGAGTACGAGAATCGAAACTTTTAGTTTATATACAGTTTAAATATCTTTTTATATATTTAAATTGTATTGTTCGAAAGCATGTTTATAAGAGTAACAATTTTTTCTTATAATTTTATTGTTCTTTCTTTACTTATGTATATATACTGTACGCTATAGTCGAGCCAAATTTGATTTTTTATGTAACATAATTTCAAATAAGTATTGAAAGTAAAAAAGAAATGTTCTCTTCATCATTAGTAAAAATTCTTTTTTTTTTTCGATCATAAATTTTTAATATCATACATTGGATATATAGTAGATAACAATAAAAAAAAAAAACTAATTGTAATCTTGTTATCCATACTTAGAAGTATACACACTTATTACAATAAAAAGAAATGAAATTTTATTTAAAGTTAAATAATAACTACCTACATGTATGATAGCTATTATTTACCTTATATACATATGTATATATAATAGAATTATTTGTTTTACTTCAAAAATATATTCATGTACATTCAACAAACATTATTTTGTTCAGGATTGAATAGGTTTAATTTCCAGGATAAACATTTTATTTATATTATGTGATATAATTATTTATTTTCCTTATATTATTAAAATATAATTTTATATTTGAATACCTATATGTATATACATGTATGTTTTAACACAGCATAAGCCAGTATGCTCTCCTTGCAAAATTGTATGCAAGCAGTGTCTTATTAAACTACTATTTAATTTGTACTCAATGTACACGCACGATTAATAATGAAATTACAAAATTACTATTGTCTCGTCACTTTTATAAAATTGCATATAAATGATACAATTGGAAGGTATTCAAATTTTGATTTATCTTTTTTGTTTCAGTCGTGAGTTAAAACGGCAGTGGTTTGGTATAACTTTAAATAACGGGTGATTCGTTACTAGTTTATAACCAATTTTTTTTTTTTTTATTGCCCCCTGGAGTTCTTATGTATCATTTTTTAAGATTTGAATAGGTATAACTAAAAGATTAATGATGTGAATAATACTTTAAACACGACTCTGAATACTTAAATTGAAGAAAAATAGTTCCCTCTTTTTAATGTTACATTACAGCATGTACGTAAGACAATTCATATTTTCATCTATGTGTTTCAAGAGTATGTTTTTCTATGTATCAATTGCAATTTATAATTGAAGTAAGTAGAAATAAATAATATTTTGTTTTCTTTTCAATTATTGTCAAAGGTTGTTTGTAAGTAACCAAAATCATTTTATTTTATATATTGATAACAAAATTCAAATACAATTGTAAAGAACTAAATTTTTGTACAGAATGTTTTTTTAAAAATAACATACACTTTATTTTTTTGATTTATGGCAATCAATAAAGAGTAATGATAATGTTTCAGGAACAACGGTGATTTCCATTGCTTCTAACGAAGAAAGTCAATTAAGTAGTAGGTATAAAAAAGGTTTTTACTGTTGTGTATAAAAGATTATCTTCAGGATTCGTTGAAGGAACAAATGCGGGTTTGTAAAAAAAAGTTGTAAAATTATTACTTTCTGACACGAAGGTATGAATACTTATTGACAAATCATTTGATCAAGTATTTTTATTAGATGTCAAATAATGATCAATTAATTTCAAAGTTCTCGTTTTTCAATTATTTTTGGATATTTTTAACATTTTGCTTGGCATATATATTTTAGGTATGTTTAATTCCGTTTGAAATATTTTATAATACTAAATGCATTATAAATAAATTTGCTTTATACATATGTACATACAACTTACTAAAAGCTAAATATTTTATGTCAGGCTTGTATTATGTATATCGATTAGAAAATTTATTTTTATTTTATAGGATTGTTTCTCGAAGTGCATTTATGAGCATTTTATTATATGCAAGTAATGTTTGTTTGTTAAATACATATAATAATACATATGTACGTATATATGTATGTACAGTGAAGCGTACTATATGTAGAAAGAATGCAAATACAAATTACAGAATATATATTTGTGCCTTAAGCATTTATTGCTTCCTTTTAACTAACTATATATTCGAACGTAATTCAAAATTATTATCAAAATGTATATACACCTATGTTAATTAAAGCCTTGTAAATGTGTGTGTAAATATTATTTGCCAACAAATAACGTATCATTCGTTACTCTACCCAGCAGGTAAAACTTTTCTAAGTTTGTACTACAGTAAATTCAATTATTGGGGGAAAAATTTAAATTTCAGACGGTGGGCCATACATAGGATTTAACTGTTGTGTACAACGTATAAACGTAGCACGGCGCGGCAATTCGCGTAATCTTTCAGCTCCTGTATATGTGCACGCAGAACGTAAACCACCCAGTATGTCTAAAATAGTGTTTTCTACTAGACCTTTATAAGGCACCTCCACGGTTTTACCTTCTGAAGATCTAAGCAAATTAAAAATGTATTAAAATATTTTTTTTTTTTTGAAATATTTTCATACAGTCTAGGATGCGAATTACTTTTGCGTCTATTTAATATTTACAAACCTATATTCAGCAACACCTCCGGCATGCTTCTTCATCGCCGTGCTCGAAGCCATGCCGTAGAATAATTTTAATTTTCTCCCATTCTTTTCTATTATTTCTCCTCCACACTCATCATGCCCAGCAAACATACCACCCGCCATCACAAAATCTGCCCCAGCACCGAAAGCCTTCGCCAAATCGCCTGGACAAGTGCAGCCGCCGTCCTAAAATAAAAATGCGTATCCGATTATTTTGCAGCGAAGATAGTTTTTAAAATAGAAGAAACGTTAATTTTTCGGGCAATAAACAGTTAAACAATAACGACGTTTCGGCCACGAATATTTTAGCTTTCTTCGGGTCAATTTTAACTCTTTGGGGCGCGCTGGGATTAAAAGTGTCCCACCTTTTTGTTATTTCGCAAAATTGTAATATGTAAATATTTACCGAAATTATGTGCCCTTTCAAACCATGAGCGGCGTCCGCACATTCGATTACAGCACTCAATTGTGGATATCCTACACCGGTTTTCATTCTTGTTGTACATACTGATCCAGGACCGATTCCAACTTTTATCACGTCTGCGCCGGATAATATTAGTTCTTCTACCATTTCTCCAGTTACCACATTCCCTGCCTAATAAATTAACAACAATATTTCTTTTTTTTATCTTTTGGGAATAATAAAAATTACAGAATTACTTACAATTATTGTGTGATTGGGATATTCGGATCTAACTTTTCTAACGTATTCGACAAAATGTTGGGAATATCCGTTAGCAACGTCCAAACAAATAAAAGACAATTTGGGTACAGCAGCTAGAATATTCGTCAGCCGTTCAAAGTCTTCTATTCCTGTACCAGAACTGGCAGCTAGATTTTTGAGACATTCAGGGTTTTGGCTAGCAAAATCTGTCCACTCTTCGGTCGTGTAATACTTATGGACAGTTGTGAAAAGTCCATGCTAACATATAATAAAATCAATACGATATAGATTAAAATTTATAAGTAATTTAATGCATAACAAAACAAAGAATTATGATATACCTTTGATAGAGCTTTAGCCATTTCAAACGTTCCTACTGTATCCATGTTCGAAGCCATTACAGGTATTCCCTTGTAAGTTTGTTTTGAATTACGAAATGTAATTTCTCTATACAGATCAACCTAAAATTGTAAAAGGTATTCATTGTTATTTGAATATCTGTGATCAAGTTCTTTAATGATAGTCATTTAAGTAAACATATGCGATTAATCATTCTATAAATTATAAAGAAATATTATAAGTATAATAATACATTATTGAAACGCGATTATGATACGATAATATAAATTTCAAAAATAAGATAATATTTCTGTTATTAATTTTCAATAGCTGGAAAATAATTTCCAAGGACATTTTTTATTCCACTAGATTCCATAGAAAAATATTGGGTGTGTAACTTCATTAGAATTTTAGATTAACATTCACTGAACATTCCGCTTAAGAGTGGGTTTCATAAAAAAAAAAAAGTAAGGCAAAGAATGTTGACATTTGCAAATCCTTATAAATCTTGAGATTATACTTACATCGGATCTACTTTTCAGCGTGCTCCTCTTTGGACGTAATAAAACGTCTTTAAAATCTAGTTTTATATCGTTTATAATATTAGGCATTTTGATGAGCGGCTATTTATTTTTATTTATTCCACTTTTAACAGACAACTACGAGGAAACTTGAACGAAGAATAAAGATCATGAGACTCGTAGTTTCGCGGCGATCCCCTTAAAGGCGTACATACGTCATACATTAATACATACTCAACCGTCGTACAATTATATTAATAAGAACACAATAGAATGTATCATTAGTTTAACTGTGTCGAATAAGATTGCAAACAGCTTTGGTAGTTACCAAGCAATGTGAATAAGTCAATAACGAAAATATCAAGTAAATTAACTGAAACTGAATACGAAAATTATTTAACAAAATGCAGCGTATAATTTTGTACTTTACTTTTAAGGAATTCGTTTAAATAATCACATGGCATTGACAATTTCTAACTTTTCGTAAAATTTTAATTTATATACATTTATTGACTCACGATTTCTAGTTTCGAATTAGAAAATGCACTTCATTATCGAATGCTACCGACAAATCCACGGAATTCTGTTAATGACTACAATAGTTTTACCAACTGTCACGCTAATTACGCTATGCTTTGACTAAGTGCAGCCAGATCAGAGGTGCCACAAAAGCACCGACGGTGCATAACTCACACATGCCAGATCACGCGTCCGTGAGCTCGTGGAGTTTCGGAAAGTCGATAAAGGCAAACTAACGCATGCTCTCTTTCTCGATTCTCCGAAGCTGCCCGAAGTAATTTCGAATCACCTCGTGGGAGTCGAGAGAGAAAGGTTCACATTTGCCTCCTTGTCCTTGAAAATTCGGAGGTGATTTTAGCGACCTCTTCTCATGGATAGCGGTCAGTTGAGAAACTAACTGAATTAGTGTGATAGGCAGCAGCCAGTGCGTGTAAATGCATACCAGTTGAAAAGTACGAATTATTCGCGATTCCTTGACTAGTTAAAGTTGTTAATAATTTGCTAAAAATCAATCTATCCGCGGTTTCTATCCGAGGCATCCCTCGGGTTCGTATTACAAGCTTCGGGAGACATCGGAGCTCCCCCCACCGCGCCGCCTAACTCGCGAGCGTTGCCGAGCGTTGCCGAGCACGGCGGGCGGCCATCATTCGTACTTTGACGTCGAGACGTAGCGGTGCTCCGCGACCGAGGTGCGTATTTCCAACCTGTTGATCTTTCCACTCGTATTACTACTCGCGTTTTAATTACGATCTCTTGCAATACGGCTTCCATTCAATCATTACCTAATTATAATAATGGTTCGTGTACTTTAATGCATCGTTATTTCGTTTCTGTTACAGTCTCTTATTGGAAGTCGAAATCAAGGAATAATAAGACTTGTTGAAACCTGTCAAGACATGTCGGCGTTTCACAACCAACGAAGTATGCATTTCTAACCCTTTGCTATTTCCTCATAATCAATCATTGTTTAATTATGATTTAATTTGTATTTTATTTCTGTTGCAGTCTCTGATTGAAATTCGACGCCATGGGAAGTTTCATTGGCGCCTAAAGTACACCATAACAGATGGCAGGCGAGTCGACAAATTTTGAAGGGTATCTTGGTAACGTTTAAATAATTATAATAAAAATTGACATCCATATTAATATTTATCGCTTTATTAAATTATCCGTTGCAAGCATGATTTTAATTTTATAATCGGTCATTGTTAAGATAAAGTATTAAAATAGTTAACAAACTTTCTATCTACTTCGATACATATCGAAGTACACAAAAATGGCGTCGGTAGATTCAACGATAAATTGCAATAGTTTATATTAGACTGTATTCTGATCGCGATTAAATATTTCCGACTATTATTTATTCAATTGATTGTTTATATCTCTTTATGAATTGTTGTAATTGCAATTTGCATACATATTTCGATGCAAGTTTAAGAAAACGTAGTAACTGCGGAGTTGGAATATGCTATTCGAGCATAAATAACTAGCGAACTTTAATTCTTGCAAATTTCGGAATATTTATAAAACTTACGGGATATTCTAACGTTCGATAAAGTAAACACAATCATGCTTTCAACTCTAACTATGAAACTTGGTGATATAGTATTTATAAGTTGAAATCCTCATTGATTGAGAATATTTTACATGATAAACTATGTATACAGCAGTGCTAAATAAAGCAGTGTTTCCGTTGTTAAAGTCTAGTAAGAAGGAAAAAGAAAATGAATAGGCTAAGCACAGATGTGCTTGTTTTGTTTCTTGTCTCCTGTCCCTTTTCTTTCAGCTCTTTTCTTTCCAGGAAATTTTGTTGGCCGCGCGCAATGCGGCCGGTAGATTCAGTGATTGAGCGTAGCAAACAAGTTTGTTTTTCGGGGCAAAGTGACCCCAAGCACGTTATCGTTCACGGTGTTAGGCAAACGCGAGAGTAGAAGCAGTGTTTTCTACGCAGTATTAAATTACTCACAGAGCATCGTGGCTCTTTCTGTTTTCTGAATCGCGATAATAGAATCATTTGTTCGCCGATTTCAATCTTCGGTCGCGGTATTCTAATTTAATATTTTCCAAGCAAATTAATTATTCTTTCAATTTGAAATTTAAACTCCTCGTTACCGGAATTAGAGTCAGTGAATCACTGAAGAGGATTATTTGGCGATGCTCCACGAGCAAACAATGTAAGTATAAATTTATACTTTGGAATTTTTAATTAAAAATCTCTACAATTTTAACGATAGATTCTAATTGTTTTTTTACAGTTTTTTTACAGTTTCTAAACATGATCCTGGGAACGAGTAGCAGTACTCGGGGAGTATCGGGCGGTGGACCACGAGCGAACAACGTAAGTATAAATTTATACTTTGAAATTTGTTAATTAAAAATTTCTATAATTTTAACAATAGATTCTAATTGTTTTCTTGCATTTTTGTTACAGTCTCTGGACCTGAATCTAACCAGCAGGACTATGCTGACTGATGGATGACTGATGGATGACTTCAGGGGCTTCAAGTCATCATTGATAAGTTGCATGCTATTTTGTTTCCTCTGGTCCCCCAATCATGTTGTAGGATGAAAGATCCGAATCAACACGGGTGACCAGTTGTATACTTGCTATTTTTGACGAGTTAAGTGAATAGTAACATCAACTGTTATATTTTTTAGAGCAGGTTTTAGGGTCTTCTTGCACTCGCGTTTCTTAATATTACAAATGAATAGTACACATGATTATTATAAAATTTTTACAAATATACAATCTTTATAAAATATATGAAATATTTTTATTGACTTTATATGAGTTATATGATTGAATAGAAAATGAATTAATATAATGTGAAAACATTATATTTATGATGAGATCGAGTAGACTGTGAATGATAATTATTATGACATTGTAGAATAATATTTATAAGATTAATATAAATTATTAAATATTGATCGTTTACTTAATTAATACATCGTATGATGTATTTAATGTGCAAGAAGGCATTTCGCGACAGGTCGATTTTGGAGTCAAAGTAACATGCATTTTATACTAGTTTCATCTTTTAAAAAATTTACTTTGACGACAGAATCGACCAAGGATAATTGAATATTTTGATTAACAATTTAATAAATTCATTTCAATTTTTAAAGTAAATTCTTTTATCATGAAATCTCAAGTAGAGTCTTTCATTTTAAATAATTCAATTTCAATTGTAATAGTTTTATTGAATAATAGTATTTTTTGATATTAATGTATTTTATTATTGATATATTACATATTACAAGTCGAGTCATTTTAATTAAAAATTAAATACGAAATACCGTTTAGCTATTAACTAATTTTTTTAGTCAGGATTTTCAGACTAATTTTCCCGTGTTCGTTGCCTAAGCTTATGCACATGCCCAGGTGCTATTTGCATGAGCGAAGGCAACGGGGCACGATGAATTTATTTATAACAATTCAACGACATATTGACGACTGACATTGGCTAGTGAATCGTGCACGACGTACTGTCCACATGTGTGTGTGTGGTTAGGTTGTGGAAGTGCGTCGTTTCAGATATTTTTATGATTGTAATTCACATACAGAATTTTATAACATTAGATTTTTTATCAATAATACTATCAAATTTCAATTTATCATTTATTTGAAAACTGTTGATCTTAATGGATTTCAATCTTAATATTTTTCAATTTTCAATGATACATTTATGCAATAGATTTTATTAAAGACTATATTCCATATATTAAAACATTTTATATAAACGTTTATCTATATAATATAAGAACGCAAAGATCACTAGCCATTGTCAGTCTCAGAAACTAGTAAGTCCACAATTAGAGTGTGAATGTTTGCAATATTCGGGTGTCGGAGGAACCCCGGGGAGTCCTCTCTAGTTTAGGTCGCGCCCGAATATTATGCGTGAGAACCGTGGAGTGTTTGTTTGTTTGATTGAGTTTTGCAATTTTTTAAATATAGGGTTAGGTAGGTAGGTAACTTTTTCTCTGGTGTGTGTGCGCTTAATTTAAGTAGGTAGGGTCAGGGCAGGACTGTCCACATTAGTAATTCGGGTAGGCGCGTTTTCGCGTGGCAGTTCTGTTCCTGTAGTTACGATTTCGAGAGTAGAAATTTTGCTGATTCAAACGGTGTACTTGTGCTGTTTGTTTCTGCTTTATTTTCGACTTCTCGAATCGCGCGACTCTTAAAGTCGCTCTCTCGCGCTCGCGGTCGTGATCAGGTCCCTTTCGAAACGTTCGTCCCCCTCGAGATTCACCACGTATGCTCTTGCAACAATTCGTATATTGTTGGAAGACTACGTATTGCACAAAATCTCGAGCCCTGTCTTAAGTAAGTTTCAGGCATCGGCAGGACCGCCGAAGAAAGAAAAGGCTCTATATGAGCTGAAGAGGCCCTGACAAACTGTCTCAAGAGTGGGCTACAACAAATGGCTTTTCATCTTCATCCTCGGATGAGAATGGAAAGTCATTCCTGTTACTACTTTATCACTTAACTCGTCTGTAGTTGTAGTTAGTTTATTTTTCTGGCTTCACGTATGCATGTACTTCGTACATGATTGCACCATACATGCCATCTCTCCCCATAACTCGCGGTTATGATGTACATAGAGTCGCGAATATGCAATAATCGCGTTTGCTTTTAGAGTTGCGAACTCTCATTTTTCGCGTTGCCTTTTCAGGGTAGTGTTGCGCCTTGACACGATACGCGATTGGTTCTTTGCAAACTTAGGTACCGAATGTTTGCTTAAAAATAGCGTTGCGAATCATTGATAAACGTGATTGCTCGTAGAGTTACGAAATACCATTTTTCGCGTTTGCTTTTCAGGGTAGTGTCGCGAACAATCACGATTCGCGTTGCTTTTTTACTCTTTTATCTAAATAATGAACATCGACCGCGTTTGCAATTTTCATTTCATAAATTAGCGTTGCGATCTCGATCAATCGTGCGATTTTTTATTTAGCGTTGCGATATTTTCAATGCCCAAATTCTACCCCAATTGTAGTACTAGCAGTAGTTAGTTTATTTTGTGGCCAGTACATGTGCATATACATGTACTATTAACCCCTGATTAAAGTTAGAGTTGCGAATAATATACAATGTTCGCGTTTGCTCGTAGAGTTGCGAACAAAAATTTATCGCGTTGATAT